TTCTACCCAGAATTTTATTTTTGTTTCAAACAATACCAATTAGGCTTGGAAAAGAATATTTTGAGGATTTAAATAAAATTGTTTTGAAGTATATATGGCAAGGCAAGAAAGCAAGGATAAAGTTAAAGCTTTTACAGGATGCTAGATTTAGAGGAGGGTTTGGCCTGCCTAATTGGGAGTTGTACTACCAAGCTGCAAATTTGATGTGGGTTAAAGAATGGATAACATTAAGGAAAACTAGATTGTTGACATTAGAAGGTCATGATTTGTTGTTGGGTTGGCATGCTTTTTTATGGTATAAGGGAACCAAAACACAGGGGTATTTTAGAAGACATTATATACGGGAGTCTCTGTGGTTAAATTGGGAGAAGACAAGAAAACAATGTTATTTGAAAATTCCAGTTTGGTTATCGATGATAGAAGCGTTTTCTTACCCTATAATTTATAAAAAGGAACAAACAGTTAGCTATGGGGAATTACTAGATGAAAAGGGTGAACTTAAATCGATGCAAAAATTAGAGGAACAAGGTATACGGATGAATTGGTTTTCATATTTGCAAATACATTCAAAGTATTATGAGGATTCCAAAGCAGAGGGATTTTATGATAAACAAACTGATTTAGATAAGATTTTGATGGGTACTGATGAAAAGGTGATTAAAAAATTATATGGTTACTTATTGGAAATTAAGTTGGAGGAAGAACAAGTTAAAGAAACTATGATTGCTTGGGGGAGGAATTTTGGATATGGGATTGACTTAGAGAAATGGCAGAAATTATGGTTGCAAAATTATAAAATGACAATGTCTACAGCCCTTAAAGAAAATTTGTATAAGGTGTTTTACAGGTGGCATTTTCCCCCGACGAGGATAGCAAGGATGTTCAAGAACAAATCCGAAAAATGCTGGAAATGTCATCAGAAACCTGGTTCATATTACCATATGTGGTGGACTTGTGAGGACGCTAGAAAATATTGGACTAAAATCCACATGTGGCTGGAAAAAATGACAAAGAAGCATATAGACTTGAAACCGGAGCTTTTTTTACTGGGAATTTTACCAGATGCTTATAGTAAAGAGCTGAAATATTTGATTGTAAATGTATTGACTGCGGCTAGGATTGTATTTGCAAAAAATTGGAAAAATGAGAAAATTCCATTGCAGGAAGAAGTCATAAAGAAAATATTGGAATGTGCTGAGATGAGTAGATTGACTTTTGAAATCAGAGAGCAAGAAGATAAACAATTTTATATAGTTTGGGATCTTTTCTATCAATGGTTGAATGATGAAATACAAAAATAGAAATGTTAGATAATAAGGAATAATATTGATTTTATTTTTCTTTTCTCTTTTTTGGTACTGGATATTATATTTATATAATATTTTTCTGTTTCTTTTTTTTTTCTCTCTTATTTAGGATAGAATTGGCACGATTATATGATTTGTTTTAGAATAAATTACTTAAAATATAGTTATCTCACAAAGGCATGATCGAACAAAAGTCTAGTCAAACTTCTTTTTTTAATAGTGATATTATGATTTATAAGTTTGTATTGACAATAAGAGTTATTATACAAGGTAACTGTAATTGTGACTATGAGATGAGTGCACAAAACTGATGAACCAACCGACTCACTGTTTGTATATAAATATGGGGGAGCTGATGTTTTTATGTTTTGTCTGTTTGTTTGTATGTCAAAAAACAATAAAAAATCTTTGGAAAAAAAAGAAGAACCTTCTGCAAGCTTTCACAAGGGGCTGTTGCCATTTTCTTGGCTTTGAAGATTGCATTCAGGAAGCCACCTCTGGAGTTGTGACTGGGATGCCTTTCTCCTTTTTTGGAAGCTCTGGGAAGGCAGTTTCTGGCCATGTGCCAAAACACAGTAAAAACAGAGGTCCAAATCTCTATATCTCTGTCATTCTTCTGCAGCCAATAAGGATCTAGCTACTCCTATTTGCATGGCTCCTCTCCCCCTTCATTCAGTCTTGTTAGCATCAAGGGACTGAAAGCAGGATAGAGGGGCTGACTGACTGTCGGCAATGGCTGGATTGAGCTCAAATCTAATAATGCACCTCTGTAGGCTTGGTCTAAAGTCTGTGGAACTTCTTGCCTGATGAGCTCATCAGCAATTTGGTCCTTCAGACTCCTGTCTTATTCCAAACCAAGTCTGCAGCAAACAGGTCAAATTCTGCTATGCATTACCGGATTCTTCTATAGTTTTGTTGTAATTCATAAATCTGGCACTTGTATTCCCATAAATAACTCACATTGCACTTTGAAAAAAAATATTTTTTCTGGCTCTGCTCCAAATCTTTTTGGCAAGCTGCCATAAGTTATCTGTAAAAGCGGTGGCATTGTCAGAGCAGTTACTTGGGCTACTGATAATGGAGGCTAAGATTGAACCAAATTCTGTTGGGACCAACTGCAGCATCATAGCTGGCATATACTGCACTTAGGTTTCCAAACCACCCTGGTGGCACAGAGCAGAGCCTAAGTAGGGTTTGGTCAGCTGCTGCTCCAGCCTGTGGTTCAGAGGCCATTCCAGTTTTCTTCAGTTACATTCACTGAAAGGTGGGAGTAAGTTGAGAACATTGATGTCAGATGTGAAAGACCATGTCCACACTTGAAGTTTTAATTATAAATTTATTGCCATTCCCATGCACAGGAATATGCTCAACTAATGATCAGTACTTGTTAGATAAGATTCAGCTGCAATCAAGGTGGGTTGGACACCCATCCCCGTCTAGCCTATCTAATGATGGCACTCTGGCTCTGCGGTTAAGATGCTGTGCTTGTTAGCTGGACAACCAGTAGCCCAGGTTCAAGACCTAACCACCATATGAAGAGGGAAGGAAGGAAGGAAGGAAGGAAGGAAGGGAAGGAAGGAAGGAAGGTAAGTCCTGCCTTAGCACTTGGCTACCAGCAGATGGCGAGACTCCCCTGGAAGACAAGGGTTTGGTGCTCTCCCTGGTCTCGCCTTCTTCCACTGGAGACAATGGATTCCCCTGCCCTCCAGGGCCACAACATGAATGTTGTTGAGTTGGCCATGGCCACCCCAACCATGCCCATCCAGCCTCCCGAGGTCAAACATAACCCTGATGTGGTCCTCAATGAAATCGAGTTTGACACCCCTGCCTTAGACTACCTCTATCACTCATTTGTTTCTGCAAAAGCCCAATTTTCTCTTATCCTATTCTTCATTAACTCTGTGAGAATTAATTCATAAGATCTGTATAATTAACTCCTAGATATGGGAGTGACAGCAGTAGGCTGTTTTTTATCTGATATACAGTAATTAAAGGTCATCTAAGGCTATTGAGACTTCAACTCAGCTCAACCCTACTAAAATTTAAAGCAATTAGCTTTTAATTACTATTGACTCAAGCTCAATAACCCTTTATTCATTCAGAAATAGTTTTAAATAGACTTAGCTGTTTTTCAGAGGGATTTTTGATTGGTTTTATTTTACATCCTATGACGTACATTATATCAGTTCTTCATTTGTGTTGAATTGAAGACAGTTCATAAATCACTTGCTTCTTTGGAAAAAAAAGTTTTGGAAGCAGACTAAGTAAACACAAATAGTCTTTGACTTTTAACCCCAAATGAACGCAAAATTTCTTTTGCTAAGTGAAACATTTGTTAAGTGAGTTTTGCCCCATTTTATAATCTTTCTTGCCATAGTTAATCACTGCAATTGTTAAGTTAGCAACATGGTTGTTAAGTGAATCTGATTTCCCCATTGACTTTGCTTGTCAGAAAGTCACAAAAGGGGATCACGTGACCCAAGGACAATGCGATTGTCATAAATATGAGTCACTTGCAAAGCATCTGAATTTTGATTTCATGACCATAGGGATGCTGGAACAGTTGTAAGTGTGAAAAGTAGTCATAAGTCACTTTTTTCAGTGCCGTTGTAACTTTGAACAGTCACTAAATGAACTTCTATTGTAAGTCAAGAACTACATGTAATGCAGAACTACATGCAGGTCATCCTATTTGATTTATCAGTAAATAATAATGCATCAGAGTTTGAGTTATATGAAGAAATGGGATTTACTAACACAAAGAATGTGTTAGTCTTTGAATCTAAGCAAAGGGGGGATTATGTCCTGTCAAGTCAGTATTGACTCTTAGCAACCATATAAATATATTTTCTCTATGATGATCTGTCCCTAACATGTTTTTTTCAGGTCTTCAAGAACTCTTAATGAACAAGACCTTCCTTCATTTTGATTCCCTACCGAGGTCTGTTTTTACAATCCATTTCTGTTTTTCAATCATTACAATGTAAGCTGCAGTTCAAGAATACATATCTGTCTGTCCCCCAAACTTAATGTAATTTCAGATTCTGAAATTCTATGGCTCCCTATATTGAAAGAAAGCCCACAATTTAAAGAAAAAAAATGCTGTTTCTAAGGTATTTTTTCCTGTTGTACTTCCTTTGAAAAAGCTTTGTTACCCTGTTTCTCCAAAAACATGACCTACCCTGAAAGTAAGTCCTAGTTTGTTTCTTTACACAAGTGCCCAATTTAAGCTCTACCCTCAAATAAGCCCTAATTAAGATATCTCCCACACCAGAGTGGACAGTTTAAAATTAAGCTAGGGTAGGAATGGGGAGGTGGAACCGCCTTACTACTTACCTTTGGATACTTGTAGCCAGGCCTCACACACCCCGATACCTGCCTTGCTGGTCCATTTCTTCTGCAGCTGGCAAAGCTGGCAAGGCTTTTCTGAAGGCCTCTGTAGTTGATAACAAAGATCTAGACTGATCCAGAGCTCTGTTATCTGTTCAAGAGGCCTTCAGGAAAGCCTTGCTGGTCGCAGAAGTTCCTGAAGGCCTCTGACAGCAGGGGCAATGCGTGAAAGTGAGGTTAGTCAGTGGATGACATCCCTTGAAAATAAGACTGGTGCCTTTTTTGGTGGCAAAAAATATAAGCCAGGGTCTTATTTTCAAGGAAACATGATATCACCAGATCAATGGTGAAGGATATAATTACCTCAGATAAAGACTTGGCTGGCTGGCAGTGCAAACCTCCAACAAATTCAAAGTTTGGTAGAAAAGGTCGTGGAAATTCAAAATCCCAGTAGGTTTGGATTAACCATATTTCTGCTTTACCCATTATTTCACACAGTGTTGTGGGTCTCCCTACAGATAGAAAGTATTGAAGTTATATACTGCTTATATTCAAATACATTCATGCACTGTTTGCTTTTCCTGCACTAGTACTTAATAGGTTTAATGATGCTGATTTCAGAAATATTCAAATCTATACATTATGTTTTCAGGTAAACTCAACGGTTTTTTTAAAAAAGCATCTTAACAAGGCTGAGCAAAACTTGTACTTTCCCAAAAATATGCATTTGTTCACTGGAGGCCAAAATAGACCAACCTTCTTGATGGGGAATCTTCCACTAGCATTGGGTAATTTTTGAAAAACAATCTTCTAGGATGAGCATACTGAATTCATATAACTAGGAACTGATTAGATTCTATTTCTGAAGATTTGGCACTTTTGAGTGATGCATATGTTTCAGTAGGAAGAAGTTATGCTGAACCACTTTTTAATTTTATACAAGAGGGAAAAAATATTGTGAAGAATAATATTTAAGACAGGTGGGAAAACATGGAAGGAACAATCCCCATTCATTCTACAGTGAAGAAGGCATTTTTATATAGATAACTCCTATAAATCTCTTATAATTTCTTAATTTCAGCTCTTCTTTCTACATATAGATGGAAGTATTCCAAAACTAGGAATTTCTGAAGTCTTATTCACAAAAGGCAAAAAACAAAGTATTCAGGAACATTGAAGGCAGGTTAATGGTCCACTCAGCAAGATGAACAGAAAAACCATAATTGTGATAGGGCTAGTTAATCAGTGATCCTTAGATTATAACAGCAATTGGAATTGGAATTTCCATTGCTAAGTGATGCAATCATAAAGCGTAACTTCAAATGTGCATATAGTACAGAAACAATGAGCAGCTAAAAATAATAATGTTTGTTTCGGGCTATCTGGGTACTGGGGGTGGAATTTACTTTCTGAGATTAATAAAAACAGTAAGTCCTTAGACCATGGGTGGGATTCAATTTTTTTAACAACCGGTTCTGTGGGCATGGCTTAGTTGTTGGGTGTGGCTTAGTAGTCATGTGACTGGCTGAGCATGGCCAATTCAACATCACTCACATCGAGGCACGCATTTCCTTGCCTGGCCTCTCATGACTGTGGAGATGCTGCAACAGTCATAAGTGTGAAAAATGGCCATAAGTCACTTTTTTCAGTGCCATTATAACTTTGAATGGTCACTCCACACAAGCAAAGTACCAGCAAAGGAGGGGGGAAAAACTTCAGAGACGTTCCTGAGACAGGAAGTCTAGTCCTGCCAAGAATGTATAAGGGTTAATAGAGAGGCAGTTTCTGTAAGCAATGCCAGAATGTTTCCTTTCTGCCTTCCTTACAGGATTAGGCCAGTAATTTCTCCTAACAACCAGTTCTCTGAACTGCTTGGGATGTTAACAACCAGTTCTAGAGAATAGGTGCAAACCTGTAGAATCCCACCCCTGCCTTAGACCCCCCCAAAAAAGTTTTTTTGGAAACTAACCACTCAAGGAAAATATTAAAAATCCTGCTGAGTTTCAAACCAAAAATTTTCTCTGTGCTTTGCAAAGATTTTCTGCTATTTATTAATGCTAAATACTATAGGAAAGTATGAAAGCTGTCAAAGATCATGCTAAGCACTGGTTTCTTTAAAGAGATGACTCATATTCTCTCTGCAAACATTAACATTTAAGGTAGCCCAAAATGAAATGTGTTCTTCCAAAGGGATAAGTAAAAATATGCCCTGAAGTCACTTTCATAATACATGAGGAATTACTAGGAGGTGATGCCCTCTGTTTCTGCTCTCGTGAAGCAGTTTGTCTATTCTGGTGATGGGGCAATTGACAATATGGATAAACCTAAAAAGGAAACAGCAAGTGGAACAGATGGCAGGAAAAAAAATCATTTCCTTTTTAAAAAAAACACAACTCCCCCCCCCCATCTTTTACAATTCCATCAATCATAGCCAATATAACACAAATAGGATTGACAGAGGCATACTGTATCTATTCAAACCTGCAGCAATGTTTTTAATTTATATCTTCAGAAGAGACTTTTCTAATTCTGCTTTATGAAAATTCTTTTTCAAATCCAACTGTCTTCTTTCAGTACTGAAAGCTTCACCAATGATAGGGAAATAAATAAATAAATAAAACTGACTTACCCAAAACTTGACTATAATAGGAAACCCATTCCCCACTATATTTTTGGAAAACATAGTCTTGAACGTAGTAAAAGATAATATTTTGTATCCTTTCTCCAAAAGACAATTTGTCTGTGAACCCAGATAAAGCAGCTGGAACATAAATAAAAGGGGCAGGCATTTTCCCACAATGTCTCTCTACTATTGAGGCTGGGGAGAACCTCAGAGTGTATAAGAATGGGATGTTCAGCTTCAAAGCAATCAAATCACCACACTGCGTCACAGGATCAGAAAGAAGCACATCATATTTTGCGTTCTTTAGTTTAGACACGAGTTCTTGATTCGATAGAACTGCTTCACACATTTGCCTACTGAGTTTATTTGCTTTTTCCATCAATTTTCCTAGTTTCTGATAAAACCTATAAAAGGTTGTCATCGATGGTTTGTTATTCCACCACAACTTTATCAGATCTGTGATCAAAGAATTAAACTCTTCCTTTGTTAAGGGAACAGAAAATACTTCAAAATTGGCAGCTGCAATATCTCCAGGTGTGATAAAGAGAGATGTTGTCAGAACCAGAATGCTGACATGATGATCTCTGTTTATTAGTTCCTGAATTTATTTTAATATTTAGCCAATGACTGGCCTCTGTTGGCCAAATAAGCACATGCCCACAAGACAAAAGGAAGAATTGGCAGATGTTCTGAAAATTCAGGTCACAAATAAGATCAAGTATTTGGGGATACATTTGACAGCAAGATGTAGCACACTCAAAGAGAATATACTAAACTCAAGCAACAGATAGCGATAGATTTGGCAAAATGGGAAAACTTACAATTATCATTAATAGGGAGAATATCAACAATCAAGATGAATATATTATCCAGAATTTTATATTTGTTTCAAACAATTCCAATTAGGCTTGGAAAAGATTACTTTGAAGATTTAAATAAAATTGTGTTGAAATATACATGGCAGGGTAAGAAAGCGAGAATAAAACTTCTCTTGCAAGATGCCAGAATAAGAGGAGGATTTGGTTTGCCTAAGTGGGAGTTGTACTATCAAGCTACAAATCTGATGTGGGTTAAGGAATTGATAACATTAAGAAATACTAGATTGTTGACAATAGGAGGACATGAGGGTGGCATGCCTTTCTATGGTATAAAGCAGGGGTGGGCAATTAATTTCTGTCGGGGGCCACATGGAAAATCAGATCTGCGTTCGAGGGCCGAGCCAATTTTATAAAAGGCCATTATAAAGGGCCCATTATAAAATGCAGCAAATTTTACCGGTATATAAGAATATATATAATATATAAGAAAAAGTAACACCGCGGCTGCTCCTGCTGCTACTTTCCACGCTTTCCAAACGCAAGTCCCAGGAGAGAACAAACAGCAAACTGTCCTCAGGGGCATCCAAACCCACCTAAAGCTAGGCCGCTGCTGGTGGAGCCTTGCCCTGCCTTGGTGCCCCGTTTCCCGGCTCGGCGGTCCTGCTCGGGTGGCACTTTAAAAGCCCTCCTCCTTGCATACGTGCCTGACGAGCCGCTCACCACGACGGCGGCTCCCAGCAACCGAGCAACTTCCCAGCAACTTGCAGCTTGCTTTTTCCTCTCAGGCTCTCGCACCTGGCCCCGAGCCGCGTGGTGGAGGGGAAGCCCAGAGCACCTCCTCCAAGTAGCCTGCCCGCCGGGCAGAACCCTTCCCGCTCCTTGGTGGGAAGATGTTCCCGCATGCAAACTTTTGCCTTTGCAGGCGGGCTGCTTGGAGGAGGCGACCCAGCGGAGCTCCGGGCTTCCCCTCCGCCACACGGCTCGGGGCCAGGAGTGAGCACCCACAAGTTAAAAGGAAGCCGCAAGTTGCTGGGAAGTTGCTTGGGTTTCCGGGGCTTCCAGGTTTAAACTTTGCACAGGCAAAGTTTGCAGGCGGGAGCATCTTCCCGCCAAGGAGCGGGAAGGGTTCTGCCCAGCGGGCGGGCGGGCTGCTTGGAGAAGGCAAGCCGGTGGCGCTCCGGGTTTCCCCTCTGCTGCGCAGCTTGGGGCCAGGCGCGAGCGCCCATGAGGAAAAACAAAGCAGTAAGTTGCTGGGAAGTTGCTCGGGTGCTGGGAGCAGGCTTTTAAAGTGCCGCCCGAGCAGGACTGCCGAGCCAGGAAACGGGGAACCAAGGCAGGGCAAGGTTCCACCAGCAGTGGCCTAGCTTTAGGTGGCTCCAAGCAGCCCGCTCCAAGCAGCCTGCCCGCCGGGCAGAACCCTTCCCGCTCCTCGGTGGGAAGACGCTCCCGCCTGCAAACTTTGCCTTTGCAAAGTTTAAGCCTGGAAGCCCCGGGAAAAAAAGGGGGATCGGCGGGGACTCACCTTCGGAGAGGTCGAACTCGAAGGTGATTTCGAATTCCCAGCCGAGGCCTTTGCACACTTCTTTTATTTCCTACCCCGAGAGCTCTCCGCACTGTTTTGCAGCTTTGGGGGCCACACGGCGCAGGGCAATACGCCACGCCCAGCGATTTTTTTTCAAGGGCGGGCCGGATTGGACAGACCAATGGGCTGGATGTGGCCCGCGGGCCGTAGTTTGACCACCCCTGGTATAAAGTAACTATAATACAGGGGTACTTTAGAAGACATTATATATGGGAGGCTCTGTGGTTAAATTGGGAAAAGATTAAAAGACAATGTTACTTGCAAATTCCAGTCTGGTTATCGACTATTGAAGCATTTTCTTATCCTATAATATATAAAAAGGAACAAACAGTTAGATATGGTGAACTATTGAATGAAAAGGGTGAACTTAAATCTATGCAAAAATTAGAGAAACAAGGTATAAAGATGAATTGGTTTTCATATGCGCAAATACATTCAAGGTATGATAAAGATTCTAAAACAGAAGGTTTCTATGATAAAGTGACTGATTTAGATAAGATCTTGACAGGTACTGATGAAAAGGTGATTAAAAAATTGTATGGATATTTATTAGAAATTAAGCTAGAAGAACAAGTCAAAGAAACAATGATTGCTTGGGGGAAAATTTTTGATATGGGATTGATTTAGTGAAATGGCAAAAATTGTGGTCTCAAAATTATAAAATGACAATAAAGAAAATGGCATATAAAGAAAATTTGTATAAGAAGTTTTACAGGTGGCATTTTCCCACAACAAGAATAGCAAGAATGTTCAAGAACAAATCTGAAAAATGTTGGAAATGTCATCAGATACCTGGCTCATATTACCATATGTGGTGGACATGTGCGGATGCTAAAAGATATTGGACTAAAATCCACACATGGTTGGAAAAAATGACAAAAAAATATAGACTTGAAACCAGAGATATTTTTATTGGGAATCTTACCCGAAACATACAGTAAGGAATTGAAATATTTGATTGTAAATGTAAAAAATGTAAAAAAAAATGTAAATGTAAATGTAAAAAATGTAAAAGCGGCTAGGATCGTATTTGCTAAAAACTGGAAAAATGAGAAAATACCAACGCAGGAGGAAGTTATTAAGAAAATGGAATGTGCTGAAATGAGTAGATTGACATTTGAAATCAGAGAACAAGAAGATAAACAATTTTATAGGATTTGGGATTTATTTTATCAATGGTTAGACAATAAAACATGGTAATGAAATATATAGATTTTTAGAATATAAAGAATATATAAAGATGTATTATTTTTAGCATAATCATAATTATAGGATAGATTTGGGATGATAATATGAATTGTCATAAAATAAATCAATTAAAATATGGATTATCTTGCAAAACATGAATGAATAATAGTATAGTCAAATGATTGATTAATAATGATATCAATGTACTTAGGAATATTTGATGGATAATATGAGAATATATACAAGTAATTGTAAGTGATGACTATGAAGTGGAGGCACAAAACAATTTGTAAACCAACCGACGCACTGTATGTACATATGTGGAAGATGGCTTGATGTTTTTATGCTGTATTTGTTTATGTTTGTCTAAAAAAACAATAAAACTTTTTTTAAAAAAACCCAAACCTATCTATAGTTATATTCCCTCAATTGAAGTTTCCTTCCCATCCAAATTCCCAAATCCAGCAGATGAAGATAAAAAGCTGGGATATAAATATTTATTATCAAGTACACATACACAAGATATATACAATCATTCTGCTACAGGCAGAATTACTTTTTAAAAAAATACTGGCATAAAATTTTAAAAAGGACCTAGTTTTTATTTTAATTGAAAGCATACAACCATATTAACAATCAATAAGAACTCTTTAAAACAAGATTTAAAGATTTTTGTGTGGGCATTTGTTGAGACAAAAGCCAATCATATTGTGGTCACTGTTGGAAAAGGGTTCTTTAGTTTGTATTCCGTAAATTAAATTCAAACTATTGCAGAAGATGAGATCGAGGCAGTTGTTGGTACCTAGTTGTTCCAGTCCCAGATTTGTAACAGCATTATAGAAGTTTGCATGTATGAGTTCAGTTGTACATTCGTTTAGAGTCCAGCTAATATGAGGTAGATTGAAATCACCAAGAAAGATAAAAGCATGTGGGCAGGATGTTGCCCATGTTAGTAGTGAACTTAGCTTGTTTACATGGTCGATGTCATAATCAGGTGCTCTGTAACATAGTAAGAATCAAAATGTGATATTTAAGGAGAGTTCACAGATGATGGTCTCAGGAAGGAAGAGCAAGCTCCTGGGTAACTTGGATGACTGTGATCACATTAAGAGCAACTGTGTTCTCTTCGCTGATGATGTAAAGCTGTTCAATACCACAGACAATACTGCTACCCTTCAAAAAGATCTTGACTATGTATCAAAATGGTCAAACAAATGGCAACTTCAAATCTCAACAAATAAAAGCTCTGTCTTACATATTGGCAAAAAAAATCAGAAAATAAAATACAAGCTGAATAGTCAAGACCTTGTTGATGACCCAAGTTCTGTAAAGGACCTTGGAATACTCATCTCTAATGATCTAAGTGCTAGAGCCCACTGTAACTACTGTACATAGCCAAAAAGGCATTAAGAGTTGTTAACCTAATCCTATATAGCTTTTTCTCTGGTAATATCATACTACTAACTAGAGCATACAAAACATTTGCTAGACCAATACTCGAATACAGCTCATCAGTCTGGAAACCACATTACATATCTGATATTAGCACAGTTGAGAAAGTCCAAAAATATTTCACAAGAAGAGTTCTCCACTCCTCTACTCATTGTAGAATACCTTATGCCACCAGACGTGAAATTCTAGACCTAGAAAACCTTGAATTATGCCATCTTTGGTCTGATCTAAGTATGGTATATAAAATCATACATTGCAATGTCCTACCTGACAATGAATACTTCATCTTCAACTGTAACAACACAAGAGCAAACAATAGATACAAACTCAAGGTAAACTGCACCAAACTTGATTGCAGGAAATATGACTTCAGCAACAGAGTGGTCAATGTCTGGAATACTCTATCTGACTCTGTGGTTTCTTCCCCAAACCACAAAAACTTTAACCTTAGACTGTCACTATTGACCTCACCCCTTTCCTAAGAGGTCTGTAGGGGACGTGCATAAGTGCACCAATGTGCCTACCCTCCCTGTCCTATTGTTTCTTTTATTTTTCTTATATGTACCCATTTCATGTATTCATAACTATGTATATACTTATACCTATTATCTTGTAAGCAATCGACAAATCAAAATAAATAAATAAAAAGAATAAACATATAGATCAATTTGGAAACCACTATGCAACAGATCGCGACCTAGTTTCTGCAATTACAGATAGGATGAATGAGGGGGACACTTCCACGTGGGTGGCTCAATTACACTATGAGGATGCCCCTGAACTACAAGATGCCAATGCATTTTTTGAGCTGTTCAGGCCTAGGCTTGAAAACCCTGACAGAATAAGGGAGAGTGAAGACAAAATAATGGAAATGAAGCAAGGCAAGTGATCCTTAAAAGACTTTGTTTTGGATTCCAGGTGCACCGAGGGCTCTGGGCATGCCAAGACACATTCTCTGGAGCCCAACACCAATGTCTGGTGGTGGAAAGACCTACTGCCTACCTCCAACACAGCAAGAGTGAATACCTGATTTGGCGCTGGCTTGGCATATTCCAAAGCAGTTCTGTGATTCTGTGGTGAGGTTCCCGAAGGCCAGCTGAGTCCCGCCCACTAGGTTACAGTTGCGCTGAGGCTGATGTCATCAGGGAATGACAGAAAACTATTGAGAGCTGGCCCTTCCAGTTTGAGCTTCTTTGGCGACAGACCAAAATGTGCGATCGTGCGCAGTTTTGATCTGTGCTCATTCCTGGAGCACCCCGAGCCACCTCGTTTCGGGGCTAAGCCACCCTATAGAGGTCGTGAAGAGGGGGGAGACTGCCAGTAGGGTCGAGGAGAGTCATATCTCTCCTCCCTAGCTGGCCTTACTCTCTTTCCCGAAGGCGGTTGCAGTGGTGGTCAGAAATGGCCACCTCAAAGAAGAACTCACTGGAAAACAATGTGCAGGAGGAAGATAAGAAGAGAAAGTTTTGGCTGACCAGGTTGAACTGGAAAAACAAAAATACAAGTTACCCTGGAATTTGAATTATAAAGAACAACATTGTTCCCAAAGAAGACTTTGAAGCGGCGAATGAGAGAGGGAAGGGAAAGGATTTGGGTTTTTTTTCTTTTCTTCCCTATATTGACAACTAAGAGACTTAAGCAAGAAACCAGCAAAAATCCACTTCAACATTAACAGGTATTTAAGCAGAAAATAAAATGTCAAAGGGATAATAAGATTTCTGGATTCTCAAAAACTTTTTAAAAAAGGAAAAAAACAAAAGGGTGGTATCTGGAAAAATGGAGGAGACTACCTGGAAGTGAAAGGAATTAACAGTCCATTTTTAACAAGATTCCTAAAAGATACATTTTAACTGAAACTTTGTAACAAGATAAGAGAACCCTGGGAAAAGAAAGTGGAAAAAAGAACCAAGAAGAAACAGCTTTGGATTACTTGGATTACGTGGTGATTATTGGCTATTGGATTTGAAGGACTAAAATTAATCGGGTGGTTGTTTAAAAGTTTTTAAAATGGTATCACTCTTGGAAGAATTAAGAATGGAACTTAAAAAACAGAAAGAAGATGCACAAGAAGGAAGAGGTTCTTTTGGCTTCATATTTCAATTTTTAGAAATGGAGATCCTGAACTATGAGAAACAACAAGAATTGCCTGTAGAACAAGAAGGGTAGGACAAAGAAGAAGCCATTTTCAATGACCAAGTATTTCTATGTGGGAAAAGAAAGGGAAGGGGGGGGGGGAAGAGAGTGAAAAATTTAAGATCTGAAAACACAACTCAAAAAAAGAATAGTTTGAAAAGTAATTACAACATTAGAAAGAAACAGAAGAGAGAATTACAGAAGAGAGAATCAGAATTAGAGAGAAAATGGGTCAAAAAGGGAAGGGAAAAGAAGAGGGAAAAGAGGGAAAGGAAAAGAAATTATAAAGGACAGAAACAGGACATAGAGAAACAGGGAAAACGTACAAGACACAGAGATAATGCATGAAAACTTAATTGAAAGGGGGATTCTGCAAGGGTACATAAGATAGTATTGTTATATTAGAAATAGAAATGAACTTTAAAAATATGAAACAAATGTGATTAAAATGATAGATAAAATACTCAGTGTCTCATCGTCTCCCTTTCGTTTCCTGCCTGCACGTGGGGGGGGGGAGAGAGAGAGAGCTGGGAGGAATTTCAAAGCTAGAAAACTAATGGGGAGAGCTGGCAGGGAGAGCTGGGGAGGGGACTGTTGTTGCCGCCACCGCCATGTGTGGGAGCGTGCATCTCAGAGACCTGAGCTGGGAGGCACAGGAACTGCAAGTGGGAGCATTTGATGATTTCGAAGAACTCCTGGAATACGGTAGATTGGTATTTTGTAGGTTTCAGTGAAAGAGTAAGTTTTGTTTCATCTCCTTTCCTCCCCGGGTAATGTGAGAGATGCTTTCTCTCTCTCTCCCCTCCCGCACCCCCAAATAATCCCTGGCTGTGGCTGGGTTTGGCAGCAAAGTGCTAAAGTGAGAGAAGTGCCCCCAGGGACACCTTTCCTTGCCTGTCACCAGGTGAGGCTCGAAGAGCTCCCCCAGCTTTTCCTCAGGTGCAGATCTGAGCCTCTCAATCCTCCACCTGGGATCTGAAAGGAGCTCCCACTTTCTCCCCCTCCCCTCCCCCAATTAATCAATAAGAGCAACAGTCCTTCTGCAGGCAGATGCCTGCTGAGGAGCCCCTGGAGTGGCAGCCAAGGGGCACTGCCCCCAAGGAGAGCAAAGCCCCCTTTCTGCCTCTGTTTCTCCCAGCAGCAGTTGCCCCAGGCCCCTCAGCTCAGACGCACACACACACACCCTGCCCACTCTTCTGTCTCTTTTGAAGGTGCCAGGTGGGGGGAGGCTTCCAGCCCGGAACGTTTTATTTTGTTATCATTAAGCATTTACATTTTTGTTGTAATTAAATAAGTGTGTGTGTATATATATGTGTGCGTGTGTGTATCATGTATGCATGTGTGTGTATATGTATGTATGTATGTATGTGTGTATATATATATATATATGTTATGTCCCACCTTCAAAAATAAACAGATAAGGCTGAAAGTAGCAGTCCTCGCAAACAAAGGCAGCAACCAGGAGTCTCCACCGATCACAGCTGTGGCCAGCCTCCACAAAACAATCCAAAATAATAGTTCCAACAAATTCAATTCCAACAAAAATACTTCAGACCCAAATCCTCCAAGTCAAAGTCTTCAGCTCTCCTTGCAGACAATTTGTTCCCGACAGAATGCAGAGTCATTCTCTTTCTTTTATTGAGCAGCAACTAATTAGGCTAATTACTGATCTGCCCTCCTCCTGTGCTCCCGTTGGTTTCTTCTCGTAAGGAGACGCCTGCTTCTGACATCCACCCAGCGATTATCTAAATTATTACTTTCACCTGAAGACTCCATAAGTTCCTCATTAACAACCGTTCCCGGCTGATAACCTGATTGAGAAGCCGAGGAGGTTGAAGGTTCAGGCCGGTCCTGCAAATCAAATGTGAGCTCCCTTGTAATATTCGCCTCCTCCTCATCATTGCAATCACTAATACTTGCTGATTCATACAAGTCCTCCTCGCTGGAGCTTTCATTCAAAAAACCTGTAGCTGGTGCCGGAATCACAACATATATATATACATACATACATATACATATACACATACACATACACATATATATGTGTGTGTGTGTGTGTGTATGGTATTCAGCGTTGTTCGGGTATTTTCCCACGTCATTGTAGTTGTGCTTTTAAAGTTGTAGCAACGTTTTGGCAGAATCTCATCTGCCATCATCAGGCTTCTGTATTGTGTTTGTCTGTGAGTCAGACTTTCACAGCCATTTCTGTTTTAAATTTGGTGCTAGCCTATGCTGTGCCAGAATGTTTTTTTCTTCATCCTGATTGGTTGGGAGTCTTGGTCTATTTATTGGTCTTGGAGTTTGCTGTGTTCTGCTTGATTGGTGTTTCTAATATCTTCTGTCTGTTTTGTGGCTCTTTTTGTGTCTTGATTGGCTGGCAACATTGTGTTCCTTTATTGGAGGCCTTTAGTGCAGCTTGGCTCTGAGTAAATGGATGGCCAAATCACAAAAACCTCTGATCACCACCAGAGGCCAAGCTAAATGCCAGGATGGAAATTAAATTATATCAGCACTGAATTCTGCCTTCCCAGCTGACCAGTGGTTTGGTGACAAGAACACCCTGACCCTAAGGGATATACTAGCCTGGAAAGGGTCCAAATTATATATCTCTGCCAGCCTGATGCTCCAAGTCCTACAACACAGCCATGACTCCAGGCTAGCTGGCCACTTTAGATTCCTAAAAACCCTTAATTTAACCAGGAGACAGTTCTGGTCACTGAAAATGGTCGCTGAAGGTGAAGGCTGATGTGGAGGATAAGTGGTGAAGTGAAGAAAATTGAGAATTTCCAGGGATGCATGGGGGGGGGGGGGGGGTTTATGAAAAATACCCAGAACTTTCCTATGAGATTCTCTGTAACTGCTGTGTGTGAAAAACAGGAAGTGTTATGTAATCATTTAACTGTGATAATCCAATATAAGGTTGTATTTACTGGATAGGGGTGTCTCCTTTCTCTCACACTGCAGTCTGAATGCTAAAGGGGGCCGATATTGCAATATCAATAAATCCTGGATTCTGATTATCACAGTCTGTTGTTTTATTTTTGGTATAATCTCACACCTACAGACATAATCACTGCTTATGTTTGTGGTATTTTGTAATATTTTATTTCTTTAAATTCAAGTATTCACTATTTTTTTCACTGTTAGGTCAATGCTTTGGAGCCATCTTTATGTGTAAGTGCACAGACAGTGGTGCTGCTCGCTTTGGTCCTTTAGGTACCCTGCTGTTCCAGAAATGGGGGAAAAAAAAGAAAATGTTTAGTCCCCCTCATGTCTTAGAATGAAAAAAACACTGCACAGTAAATCTAAAATTAGATTAGAGTGAATCTATTTTCCTCTATTCTATGTTCATTTCTTATCTTCAATCAAACAAGTTTTGTCTGTTTTGAAACATCACCTCACTCAACAAACCTGTTTCTGAACAAAACTTTCCTACATATAATGTAAGCATCTGATTTATCATACTGCTTGGAACTCTTAAGAATAAATTATTAGTCTGAGTATAGATTACATTATTGTTCTTGGATCCCTCTGAAATGAGTATCAAATAGTAACACAAGTAACTGTTGTAATGTTACTGTAGGAGATGACCATAACTCCTGAGGTCCTGCACCCCCACAAGAGATCTAAGTCTGGCTCACCTTCTTATGCTCATTTCCTTTGACCATATCAGAGACTTATAGACAGCTTAAGCTTGCAAAAAATCTTTATTCTCATTTAAACTGCCTGAATCTCCTGATTTCCACAACTTGACAGTTACTTGTGTTACTTGTGCTATTTGTGCTATAATTAATTTGTGTTATTAATGTTGTAAACTGTTCATTTAAATGAGAAGGGTGGTGTATAAATTTAATAAATAAAAATAAGTACAGAATATATTAACTTTAATGGCTTAAAGAGCCACAAAAGTGTATCCAGTTTATTATGTTGTTTAACTTGCATCAATGGATTCCATATTGCATATTTAGTTAGGTATAAATATTATTCTATTGCTTTAGCTTAAAAAAACATATCAATAATTAAAACTAGAATATGCTTTCTTAGCATTTTTAGTATCCTTCATTATTGAGATAATTGAATTTCTTCAAAAATAATTCAGCAGACTTATTAAATAGCCCATAGAATTAATGAATACTAGACTGTGGCCAGAAAGACCTGAATTAAATTCCAAATTATCCATTATTCTGATCTAGTAACTATGAATTATGAAATGTTGGATCAGCTCTAACATATGAATGGAGAAAACCTCACAGGAATTTTTCACAGTATTTTTTTGTTATATCAACATGTAGCATTGATCAACATTTGAATATGATACTTGGTTGTATAAATTAAGACTGCAGAAAAGGGAATCGGGGATCATACAATCTACTTAACAGCTGACAGTGGTCAGCAACTTTCTCATGAGACTTCTGAAGACAAATGGTATCCCAACCGCATAGTAATACAGAGTTACTGGGAAGATTATTATTTTTCTCCAGAAGATAAAGGGATATGTGTTTTTCCTCAATGTGCTTTGACTTCAGAGAAATTAAGGAGTTTGAAACTGAGTAGGAAAGTAGAGTATTAGACCTGTATTTGGAAAACTCCTCACTCAATTAAGGGCTACATTAAGTGATCCAGAATTCTTTCCTATCCACCAAGACCATCGAGAGTTGGGTGTACTGAAGGCATCAGACTAGAAACCGGGAAACTGTACTCTCTAGTTCTACCTTAGGCACAGGAGCTTGTCCAGGAAGTCTCCAAGAATAGGACTTGACTGAATGGGCGCCGGGGTGGGGTGGGGGGAATCAAATGCCATATAAAATGTATATATTCTTCTACAGTTTATATAAAATTGTCTTCAGTCAAGTCCTATTCTTGGAGACTGCCTGGACAAGCTCCTGCAGTATTTTTGGCAAGTTTTTTCAGAAGTGGCTTGCCATTACTTCCTTCCTAAGACTGAGAGAGAGAGTGACTGAGCAAAGGTCACTCAGCTGGCCCCATGTGCTTAAGGTGGAACTAGAGAGTACAGTTTCCCGGTTTCTAGTCTGATGCCTTCAGTGCACCTGACTCTCTATGGTTTTGGTGGATAGGAAAGAATTCTGGATCACCGAATGTGGTCCTTAATTGAGTGATGAGGTTTTCAAATACAGGTATAATACTCTGCTTTCCTCCCCAGTTCCAAACTCCTTAATTTCTCTAAAGTCAAAGCACAATGAAGGAAAATCCAATGCCATATATAGTCCAATATATGGTCTATATAGTCTTCTACATCTTATATAAAATTGTCTGCACATTCAAAACAAAAATGTCAGAAGAAAGTATATCTAAAATATTTATCTTTAGCTTGATGTGCACTGAGAGTAATTTTTACAAGGGAGCCCTTAACATTAAATCCTTTATCTGCAGTCTCAAATAACTTAATCAAGCTACACTACAGCTTATGTTCATCTATTTATCTGTTAGTCCTAGAAAAAGGTAAAAAAATATAATGTATGGCATAAAGCTGTAGTAGAACAGTCCCCCTTTCCTTACCTTTTAGCTGCTATATGATCACATATAGGTGGAATCCTGTTTTTCACATGGATTTCATGTGAAGAGGTTTGCACCTGTGCCTCTGTACATATGCGAGATGAACGCCATTTCTTTCCTCGTGGTATCTCAACATATGAGGTCTGAACTTGAGCTTCAGTAAATAGAGGAGTTTTTGGTTTCCTTTCCACTCTGGAAATTTGATCTAATTTTTCCCTATCTTGTATTTTAACATCTGCACATTTCATTGGACTCTCTACTAACTTTGGAAATAATCTCAAATCTTCCTCAAAGGACAGGCCAAAATTGGTACTTTGCATTTGGAGCACTGCTTCCTCTCTCATGGTCCATAACTCAAGCAATGATTTTTGCACCAGAGCCCTACTGTGTTCTAGGCGGAAAGTCTCAGTTTTTGTGAATCCTGATGCAGGAGTTGACGGTCTCCTTGGACTGGAAATTTGTGATGGAACCCGAGACTCTGCTACGCATGGAAGAAAGGGAGACTCAGTTATGTGTGACACAGTAGGAAACTCTTCAATGCTCAAAGGTGCAGGAGATACGTCTGTGTGTAAAAGAGCCGGAGATACCTCCATGTATGATGTAGCAAGAGGTACCTCCATATGCAATAGAGGAGAAGACACCTCTGTGTGTGAAAGAGCATGAGATGCATCCATATGTAATTGGGTGGATGATTCATCTATGAATGATGGGGAGCTTAGTAGAGGGCTCTCAGGAAATTGTTTCTGGGCATTAGGAAGGTCCTCTGGAGCATGCATATCAGGCAGGAATATTTGAGCACTGATATCTGGAGATTCAGTCATACAGGTTTTTATTTGTTCTTCCATTGGCTCTGTCACTCTCAATATTTCAGGAGTAGATGATTGCTTTGAGCTTTCAATCTGTTGTGAGACAGGAAATACCTCAGTAGTTGGTGTCAAATAGGATAGGGAAGTTTGAATTTCAGTATCTGTTAGATTTTTTGTCTTCCATATATCGAGGGAGGAGGTTTGCACCTGGGTAGTGACTTGACCTGGAGGAAGAGGTTCTGCCTCTACAACCAGGGATGGGTGAACTTCAATCTCAGATTCAGAGGGGAAAGAAATTTTTTCTGTGGATCCTGGCAAATCAATCCAAGATGTTTGCTGTTGTGCATGATTCAGTTCCTTTGTTTTCCATATGTCAAGGAGAGAGGTTTGTATTTGGGTGTCCATTTGTGGTGCTTCAGTTTTTGCCTCTTCTAGTTCAAGTGAAGTTTGTTGCTGAAAATCAGCATACCTATGAGATGGATGCCACAAATCCTCCTGAGGCACCTTAGTATCTGAGGTCTGCATCTGAGCATCCATCTGTGACACTAGATGAGGCTCTTCTTTTGCTTTCCATAGGTCAAGTAGAGAGGCTTGTGGCAGGATATCCATTTGTGATGGTAGGCCTGGCTCTTCTAGTTTAAGTGAAGTCTCCTGCTGAAAGTCAACATACAAATCTGAAGGAATATCAATATCTGATGTTTGCACTTGAGCATCACCAGTCTGAGAGACCAGAGACGGTTCTTCCTTTCCCTCTAGTATATCAATAAAGGAAGTTTGTGCTTGGGTGTCCAGTTGTTCTTTTTTCCTCCATATATCTGTTAAAGATGTCTGCATTTCAAAATCAGCTTTCAACTGGTGAGAATGCTCCATTTTTGCCTCCTCTAACTTAGTGTCAGATGTCTGCTGCTGCATGTTAACCAATTCTTTGGCTTTCCATATATCAATAAAAGAAGTCTGAGCTGAATTGTCTACCTGTTCTGCAGAAGATGTAATTCCTTGCTTTGACAATTCACTTGCAGAAGTTTGCACTTGAGCATCCATTTGTTCTTTTACTTTCCAGATGTCTAACAGTGATGTTTGTGCCTCACTATCAACTACTAATGGAGGAGGAAGTTCTACTGTTTTGGGTAAGTCTGATACTGAAGTATGCATCTTGGCATCAGCCAAGTCTCTTGCTTGCCATATTTCAAGCAAGGAGGGTTGTCTCCGAGATTCCAATTGTTTTGGAAAAAGAGATTCTATTTCTTCTGTAGTTAATTCAAGTCCTGCAGTCTGAGCTTCAGTTTCAGCCTGCAGGCGTGATTCCCGCCACCTATTTCCAAATGGTATTTCAACATATGATGTTTGTACCTCACTGTCAACTGCTGGAGACCAAAGATGGTCTTTTGGGAGAGGAGTCTGAGAAGCTGATGTCTGAACGTCTGGAAGCTCCTGATACCACTTGCGGATCTGAGCTTCTATTACTTGTGGGGTAATAAGGTACTCCTTTCCTTCTGTTATCTCTTGGTTTTCATTCTCAGCCTCAATCAAGGACAAAGAGGAGTCCTGCTCCTGGAGTCTGGTCTGTGACAAAGAAGAGAGCTTTTTTATTAGTTCTAAATCAGATGTTTGCACTTGAGCTTCTTTTTTGAATGATGAAGAAGAAAATGGTGTTGTAGATTCATATTCTGAGGTTGATAACTCTTGTGCTGACAAGGGACGCTTCTCCAAATGCTCATCACTGAAAATTCTGTTTTGGGTTTCAATATCTGACCAAGAGGAAGCCTTCCGCATTAACTCATGACTTGACTTTTGCAACAGGGGTTCCGCCACTGATAGTGAAGAAATTTCCTTTAGAAATTCAGCATCAGAAAGTGATTCCATGGTCTCAATCTGTGATAGTAAAGAAAGCTTCTTTAACAATTCAACAGCTGAGGTTTGGACCTGTGCACTAGCTTGTGGATGTAATAAACGCCACTTGTCCCACTGCCGAATCAAAGTGTCAGATGTTTGTGCAGAAGTTTCAGTCAATTGAAATGGGAGAGATTTCTTTTCATTGAGCAACGGAGCTCCCCACTCTTCTTTTTCTAATTCAAGCTCTGATGGTGACTCTATTACTGAAGTAAATGAGGTCTGAACCTGGGCTTCAGCATTCAACCGAGCAGCACGCCAATCATTCCCAGGAGGTGCCTCCACAGGTAAAGTCTGTACTTCAGCATTAATATATGCCGGGTATAAGTTGCTTGGTTTCACCAGTAATGGCTGGGGAAATGACAACTTACTCTGGTGCTCCTTCTCAATAGAGGATACATCCTTCTTTTCTAACATATAGTCTGAAAATGAAGTCTGTACTTGCATGTCTGTCTGTGAAGGAATGCAGAAATCAGTAGGTGAAGTCTGCACTTTAGCCTCAACTAATATTGGCAAAGATGCAATCTTCTCTAACAATTCTCGATACAAAGGTTGGGTCTGAATATACTCTGTCAAAAATTCTTCAGGCTCCTTATCTGATAAAGAAGTAAATGAGGTTTGCACCTCAACTTCCTTTTCTTCAGGTAGTGACAATAGTGAGGTTTGCACCTGAGCCTCCATTATTTCAGGTAATGACAGCAGTGATGTTTGCACCTGGGCCTCCTTTTCTTCAGGTAAAGACAGCAGTGATGTTTGCACCTGGGCCTCGTTTTCTTCAGGTAAAGACAGCAGTGATGTTTGCACCTGGGTCTCCTTTTCATCAGGTAAAGACAGTAGTGATGTTTGCACCTGGGCCTCCTTTTCTTCAGGTAATGCTATCAGCGAAGTTTGCACCTGAGCTTCCATTTCTCCATGTAATGACAAAAAAGATGTTTGCACCTGGGCTTTATTTTCTTCTGCTAAAGAATGCAGCAATCTTTGCACATGAGCTTCAGCCTCACAGAGTCTTCTTAATTCTGCAAATGAACTTTGGATTTGGGCATCAGTATCAACTGGGGTTGGGCTCCGCAGGGAGACAAATGAAGTTTGTTCATGAGCATTAGCTTCTGTAGGTATGCTTGAAAATGAACTCTGGATCTGAACATCAGCCTCAGATGATGACTCTGCTTCTACAATGGGTACTGAAATAACGGAAGTTTGCAACTCAACTTCTTTATGTAGTCGTGACCACCGCCATCTGTTTCCTTCTGGAATTTCCACATTAGATGTCTGTACCTCAGCTTCAATATACAAATCATCTTCCTCCTATTTGGAGAAAGCATGGTTATCTTGCATTGAAAGTTAAAGTTATCTTTTGGAGTTGAAAAAAATTATTTTTTGCTTGTAATAGTCAAAAATCTGGATTACTATGTACTGCTTGAGTTTTTACAGGGCTACCCGAGGGGAAGGAACATTAAATTAAATAAATAGGATTGTTTTGTTCTAGCTGCACTGAACTGCTAATTCACATTAATAAGTAGAAATCTAGTATTTGTGTATGCTAGTTCTTAATTCGGTTTGATTCGGTCTAATTTTTCTCAGGAAACTCTTTGTGATAATGCCAAACTATAATTTCTTACCTTCTTTGGATGATGCCAAGGTATATATGCATTTTTTTAAAAACAAAGTTTTTATTTTTTACAACAAACATATAAACAAAACATAAAAACATAAAACCCTCTTTCAATTATATACATACAGTGTGTCAGTTGGTTACAATCTTTTGTGCTATCCTTTTTCTTTTACCATTACTCACAAGTTATATAAATTCTCACCTTATCAATATAGCTTGTGCTTATGTAATATCAATTATTAAACATTCATTTGACTAAAATATTTTTTCATCATTTTATACAAGATATTCTAATTTTCATTATGGCTGCCTCTCCGCTGTGGGAAAAAAGAGCTTCTCCTGGATCTACCAGGGACTTTGTGATGTTCCTTGGATCAACAGGATGTGCCCTCCTCTGTAACCATCTCTACGGGATGGTTTAGGTCCACTGGGACCGTCCTGCAATGGAGATATCAGCAGCGATCTTAGAGCTTAAAGATTGCATGCTATACCGCCGCGACGCCCGCTCCGCCAGCTCCGCCCTCCGTATGTATGTATTTTTGTGTGTGTATGCATGTATGTGTGTTTATATTTCATAATTTTATATAAGAGCCTATCTCAAATAAATGATTCTGGACATCCTGCAATATTAAAATAAGAAACACATTTTAAAAATCTAAAACTCATGCGAGAAAAGAATCATTAACAACAAACAGCAATTGACATGGCTTCATTAGATCCTGATTAGGAGGAGGAGGTGGCATTGGAACTGGGACCATACAATGTGGAAGACAAGATCCTCTCCAAATGAGTGCAGAGTCCAAGGGCTGAAGATGAGGCAGTCCCAGGGCTGTCTAGCCATTTGGCAGGGAGCGGGGACAGTTGACTGCATAGAGCGCTGCTTGCAGGAGAAGAGCAGCTGCAGAGAACCGGCAGAGAATGACAGGCTCCAGATCACTTCCAACAAGGAACAGATCACTTCCCCACCCAATCCATGGGTGAGGAGAGCAGAGTGGAGAGTGGCGCAGAGAAGGTCATCAAGGCTGATGTGAGGAAACAGTCTTGTCCCTCCTTTCAAGGAATAGCTGGAGAAGGGTAATTGATATAACCAGTCGCTGGGGGAAGGTATACTTGTTGGGGACATTTGTTTGTTTTGATGTACACTTCGAAATGGCACTTTGCAAAAACAACCATTGAATGCCTCAGCCATCATATCTCCCCTAAGAGCTTAGCAATGAACGTCGCAAAACTGGAGGTGCTGCAGCCGTGTGGCAGCCCCTACGCTGGGTGAAGGGTGTACAATGGCTTCTGTGTTTTATGAAGTACAATCACAGGTTCATGTAATGTGTTTTGGAAGGGGGGTGAAAGTCCACTGGGGCAAGGTGTGCATAATTATGGCATAATTAATAATTAATATATTTAATAATTAATACAATTAATAATTAATAAATCAATAATGATGGCATAATTAATAATTAATATAATTAATACATTAATAATGATGGCATAATTAATAATCGATATATTTTAATAATTGTAATTAATATAATTAACAATTAATTAATAATTATGGTATAATTAATAATTAATAAGGTGTGCATAATTATGGCGTGCATAAGTGCACCAGCGTGCCTTATACCTATTATCTTGTAAGCAATTGACAAACCAAATAAAACAAAAATAAAAAATAAAAGGTGAAGCAGGATACCTTTTATGCTGTAAAAGCCACCTTCACCTCGGACCCTATCCTGAAGCATCCAGATCCAGTGAGGCCTTTCGTGGTGCAGACAGATCATCAGATGTTGCCATAGGGGCTGTTCTATTGCAGGCCTATGTACCCTCAGATAACCTGTTCCTTTGTGCCTACTATTGTCAGAAGTTGTCTCCGGTGGAAAAGAACTATACCATCTGGATAAGGAGCTGTTGGCAGTGAAGGCAGCCTTTGAGACTTGGTGGCATTATTTGGAGGGTATCTGGCATTAGAACAAGGTCTGGACCAACTACTGCAATCTGGACCATCTGCAGACACTCCATCCAGTTTTCCAGACTTTTTGGTGGTTGTGGCTGCGATATGACCTCCATAGATATGTGGCCTCATGCATGCAGTATAGGCAAACCAAAAACATCACAGGTGCTCCCCCTGGATTGCTGCAGCCTTTGCCCATGTCATAGAGACTGTGGGCATCTGTCTCTATTAATTTCATCAGTGAATTGTCATTGTCTAAAGACACCATTATTTTGGTCATGGTAGATATGTTAACCAAAATGGCCCATTTCATCCTGTGCCCTCAGAGCTACCAACTGCATGGACCACTACATGGCTATCAGCTTTGCCTGGTGTGGCTTGGTGTCTTATAGGCATCCTGCCATCAAAGGCTGGAAGGAGGGAGGAGAGAATGGAAGACCAATAAAGCTGTGTGTGTATTTGATGGGAAAGAGGGAGGGGGAATGACAGATGATAAAGAGCGGAACAGCCCAGAGTTTAGCAAACATTTTATTTTATTTATTTGATTTGATTTGTCAATTGTTTACAAGATAATAAGTATAAGTGTATACATAGTTATGAATACATAAAATGGGTACATATAAGAAAAATAAAAGAAAAATAAAAGAAACAATAGGACAGGGACGGTAGGCACGTTGGTGCGCCTATGCATGCCCCCTAGAGACCTCTTAGGAAAGGGGTGAGGTCAATAGTAGACAGTCTAAGGTTAAAGTTTTTGGGGTTTGGGGAAGAAACTACAGAGTAGGGGAGAGTATTCCAGACATTGATCACTCTGTTGCTGAAGTCATATTTCCTGCAATCAAGCTTGGTGCGGTTAACCTTGAGTTTGTATCTGTTGTGTGCTCTTGTGTTGTTATGGTTGAAGCTGAAGTATTCATTGACAGGTAGGACATTGCAATGTATGATTTTATATTACCATGCTTAAATCAGACCGAAGACGGCGTAATTCAAGGTTTTCTAGGTCTAGAATTTCAAGTCTGGTGGCATAAGGTATTCTACAACGAGTAGAGGAGTGGAGAACTCTTCTTGTAAAATATTTCTGGACTTTCTCAATTGTGCTAATATCAGATACGTAATGTGGGTTCCAGACTGATGAGCTGTATTTGAGTATTGGTCTAGCAAATGTTTTGTATGCTCTAGTTAGTAGTGTGATATTACCGGAGAAAAAGCTACGTAGGATTAGGTTAACAACTCTTAATGCCTTTTTGGCTATGTAGTTGCAGTGGGCTCTAGCACTTAGATCATTAGAGGTGAATATTCCAAGGTCCTTTACAGAGCTTGGATCATCAACAAGATCTTGACTATTCAGCTTGTATTTTATTTTCTGATTTTTTTTGCCAATATGTAAGACAGAGCATTTATTTGTTGAGATTTGAAGTTGCCATTTGTTTGACCATTCTGATACATAGTCAAGATCTTTTTGAAGGGTAGCAGTATTGTCTGTGGTTTTGAACAGCTTTACATCATCAGCGAAAAGAACGCAGTTGCTCTTAATATGATCACAGAGGTCATTTATGTAGAGTATGAAGACCTCCCAAATTTGGGGACCATGTTTCTATCCCCATAACAGGAAATAAAATATTGAAGTGGGTAAAGGTAATAAAGAAATAATTATTCCAAAGGAAGGCTTCCATTTATTTTTCTCTTCCCTTTTCTCATATCATAGAAACCACTACTTAGCTAGGCAGAAGATGGAAAAAAATGATTTCCTAGTGAAAGTAACTTGTTGCCAGAACCATTTGGGGATCAGTTTATCAATAGTATCAACTTTAAAACTTTAAAAAGAAACAGTATTGAAATAGATGTTGCTGTGCTTTTTAAATATAAAAAGCAGAAAGCAGTCATCTATAAGCTATTGCTATAGGTTTTAAGTATAAAAGGCAGCAACAGACATTATCACCATTTTTTCCCAATTGTTGTGACTTCATGACCTGCTCATTTCCAATTTGGAGGAAAACACTGTAAAAGCTAGATTCTTTAGTGAATTACCTCATGGTGGTCTAGCTCCAGGTCCGGCTCAGACAACCCTGAAGAAGATTTGAAGTGATCAGGCCCAATAATATTAATGCTGAAATATATAAGACACAGGCATTTTCAGAACTTGCTAGGCAATCTCATCTTTATCAGATACCAAGGACTTCAGAGCAGGGGTGGCGATTCAAATTTTTTAACAACTGGTTCTGTGGGTGTGGCTTGGTTGGTGGGCATGGTTTGGTGATCATGTGACTGGGTGGACCTGGCTTGGTAGTCATGTTATTGGCTGGGCGTGGCCAACTCAATATCACTCACATTGAGGCATGCATCTCCTCGCCTGGCCTCTCATGACTGTGGGGATGCTGCAACAGTTGTAAGTGTGAAAAATGTTCATAAGTCACTTTTTTCAGTGCCATTGTAACTTTGAATGGTCACTCAACACAAGCAAAGTACCAGCAAAGGAGGGGAAAAAACTCCAGAGACATTCTTGAGACAGGAAGTCTAGTCCTGCCAAGAATGTAAAAAGGGTTAACAGAGAGGTAATTTCTGTAAGCAACACCAGAATGTTTCCTTCCTGCTTCTTTACAGGATTAGGCCAGTAATTTCTTCTAACAACGGTTCTCCGAACTGCTTAGAATGTTAACAACCAGTTCTAGCGAATAGGTGCGAACTGGTAGAATCCCACCCCTGCTTCAGAGGTATAAATCGGCATAATGGAAAAATTTAAAAAGTCATTGGAAAAACATTATAGAACTAACAAGAGAAATACCAGCTTATGAATTATATTATTCTAAATTTAGTTTTAAAATAGCAGAATTTGTAATTACTGCAATACCAGACAAGAAAAGAAAAGAAGAGGAAAGGAAAAGGAAAAGCTCACTACTAACTTTTTAAGCTAAAAAGAGGAGCTATATAAATAAAACTTGGAAAACTCTAGAGCAAAATCTCTTAATATTAACAATCCATGACAGTATTACTTAATTGTCTACTTTAAGGCATTGCATTGGTTTATTAAAAATAAAATAAATGTTTAAATTAATTTGAATTAGGGATCAATATATATGAAGAAGAACAGTATATAGAAGAACAATATATAGAAGAACAGTCCTGGATGAATAGAACCTGGATCAATAGACTGACTTATTAATTGTCTTTTGACAATTACATCATTTAAAACTACGTTGCAGAGAAATCTCATACATTACTTCCTCTGTATAGATATGAAAACTTGTTTTGATTCTATTCAAGGGATAAAAACTATTCTAAACTTGTTCTGGTTTACAGTACAATCAGTCTGATAATAATTGTTCCTGACCAGCGTTGATTTTTAGAACTCTTGTTTAGACCAGGCTTCCACAAAATGGCAGACTCAAAATATACTGGGATTGCTATACTAATATGGTCAAACCCTTTGTTGAATGTTGCTGTTCCTGTTCAAAAATCCATCTAGATTTGGGAAAGGTTAGTACAGAGATCCACTCTCTGCTAGTTTTAATATTGCAGTGCTTAATTTGCATCTGCGGGTTGTATAAGAGTCACAAGACAAAAGGAGACTCTGAATACGATGCAATATGGGAGAAATGGTACCATTGGATAGACAATAGAAATAAGAAAAGAAAGTGTATATAATAACTGTAGAAAGTATAGAAATAGAATGTATAGATTGTATTGGACATGATATGTAAATCTATTAAAAATGTCATAGTTCTGTTTATTAAGTGATTGAGATGTGTAAAAAGAAAAAAATTGAATAAAGTATTTCTAAAAAAAAGTCACAAGACAGCAGCAAACACCACCAACAATGAAGAATAATTTCTTTTAAACATATTTCCCAGTCCAACAGTTTTTGCTTTGGCTGAGCAATATGTTTATTTATTTATCTGATTTGCCATGTAAGTATAAACATAGCTATGAATAGATGAAATGGATACATATGAGAAAAATAAAAAGAAACAATAGGACAGGGACAGTAGGCACATTGGTGCATTTATGCATGCCCCCTACTATACAGGTAATCCTTGAGTTATCAATGTAATAGAGCCTGCCAATTACATTCATAACCTGAGGATACATTAATTGGATCGTGTTAAATGAACATAATCCCACCCTGCTTTACCCAATGCATTCACTAATCGAATACACAGTTTATTAAGTGCACATGAGATATATTAGGGTAGGGAAGACCATGGGGGCTTACTGCTTCCAACCAGCCAAAGTCTCCTCTGACCCACTGCGATACCTCATGCTTTCCCTCCTATCCTGCCCCACACAATCTCCACAGGCACTGGGCCTGTGGAAAGTCACTTATCTTTCAAAGATCTTGATGATCAAGAGAGCTGTCTCTTCTCCAGCCTCTCTTCCCTAGTTTCTTTGCCTGCTCCTGAAACCCCAAAGATGCAAGATTGTGCTCCTTCGGGCTTCTGTTTTTTGCAAAAGCTTTTGGGGGAGTGATCTTGTGCTCCTTCAGGCCTCCACTCTCACTGCTTGCTTTTGGAGCGCTGGGAGCAGACAAAGACACCATGCAGCCATGCAAACCCTTCAGCAGAGAGGCTGAGGAGGAAACAGGTCACTTAGAAAGAGAGAAGGAACAGTCAGTGTGTTCTGGAACTCTGGATCTTCAAAAGGTAAGTGAGTCTATTAGGTCCCTATGGGGGGAGGGGGAAATAGGGGGAATGTTGTAGGGTCTCTGCAGTCAGTCATAAGGGTGAACAATTGCTGTGATTCTTATATCAGATGAATATGGGAGTTAGTAGTAGTAGTGGAAATTGAACTTAATGGAATAAAATAAATAGTGATGGGAGTGTATAGGCCAAATGATGATAAAAAGCATTTTTTTCAATATTTAGTGGATCAGTTAATGCCTTTTTTGTACGAAAACTGGCTCATGTTGGTGAATTGGAATGGAGTGACAAGACTAGCTCTGGGTAGAACATTTACCAAGGGGATAAAACTCTCATGGTAAATTATCAAAGACTTTCTTTGCAATGACGGACAATCTAATATTAATAGATTCATGGAGACATAAAAATGGTGATGCTAGAGAATATATCTTTTTCTCAGAAAGACATAAATCCCTTTCAAGGATTGACGTGATATGGATATCTAAAAATCTTGCAAATAAAATTTTGAAAGTGGATATTCTACCTAAATAAAATCCTTCTGCGATCATAATCTTGTGCTTTTGGTTTTAAGAGGAAAGAGTTCAGGTTTCAGGTGGAGACTAAATGAATCTCTTTTGCAAAAGGAAAGAATTATAAAAGACTGTAAAAAGAAACTGCAAGATAATTTTTGAGAATAATTTAGGTAAAGGTTCAAGCTTAACAACAGTATGGGATGTTAGTAAAGCTGTCACGAGGGGCGATTTTATACAGTACAACTTTTTAGACAAGAAAAAAAATATCTAGGAAGAAACGCAAAGGATATTGGCTGAAATTAGATAGAAAGAAATTGAATTGCAAAAGACACCGATAGATCCTAAAATTTTACATCATATCAAAATTGTTACAACAGCAACCGTCTTTGTTAACAGTGCAGGAAATAGAAACAACATTGAACTATGCAAAACAAAGACACTTTGAGTTTGCAAAAAAACCAGGAAGGTGGTTGCCATCTAAATTAAGAAAGGAAAGGTAAAAGACAATGATTGAGAAAATTTGTAAAAGTAGCAATGTAATAACAGATAATGAACTTATCAAGAAGTCCTTTCATAACATCTATTCAAATTTGTATAAAAGACAGAAGATAGATATGTCAAAAATAGATGAATATCTTTTAAGACAATTTAAGCTGCCTAAATTATCACAAACTCAGAGACAATTTCTGAATGATTCAAATGCCTTTGATATATTAGAAACCATTAAAAAAAGAAATCAGGCAAAGCCCCAGGCCCAGTTGGCCTTATAAGCCAATATTATAAGTGTTTTGAGGATGAATTTCTCCAACAACTAAAGGTTGTTTAGGTGAATGATATACTACAGGGGGAAAAGATACCCCAGATGTGGAAAGAAACCAATATTGTGTTGTTATCAAGGAGGGTCAAGATGTCACAAAAACAAAGAACTGTAGACCAATCTCATTATTAAATAAGGATTACAAACTCTTTGCTGCCATTTTGGCAGAAAGACTAAAGAAGATTCTACAGGCATATATACATGAAGACCAGTGATGGGATTCAAAAATTTTTACTACCGGTTCTGTGGGCGTGGCTTATTTGGTGGGCACAACTTAGTGGTCATGTGACTGGGTGAGCATAGCTTGGTGGTCATGTAACTGGGTGAGCATAGCCAATTCAATGTCACTTATGTCAAGGGGTGCCTCACCTGACTCCTTCCCTCCCAGACATTCCTTGTCACACCCAGCCTCAACATATCTATAGTTCTGTAAAAATGTCTTTCACCTTTTTTTGACTTTATTATCTACATACTATAGATTTACTTTCATGGACCACTGAAAGGAGGAAATGGCTTACATGCTTTGCTCAAGAGTGTGATAGGCAACAGGTTTTTAAGGGGATACCAGAAAGAAGGGGGGCAATGTATTTTCCAAAGAACCAGAAGGCAAACAAGAAGCAATGGATGGAAACTGAACAAAGAGAGAAGCAACCTAAAACTAAGGAGAAACTTCTTGACAGTGAGAACAATTAACCAGTGGACTTCTGTTCTCAGTACTCAATCACTGGAAGTTTTTAAGAAAAGACTGGACAGCCAGTTCTCTGAAATGATACAGGGTTCCTCTCAAGGTCCCTTCTAATGTTATTCTGACACCTTTCCCAGGACCTCTACTCAGAGTTTGGCATCCTCAGTTTTCCTGCCTGAGCAGGGGGCTGGACTAGAAGACCTCCAAAGTCCCTTTCAACTGTTAAACACACATGTATTTATGCTCTGGACTATAGACATTGAATGCATGCATAGTAAACCCTGAAAAATATCTGGGCAAAAGAAAGGCAGTAAAATCACTCTAGATATAGGGACAGTGTAAAATATTAATATATGATACTTGGTGGTCATGTGACTGGGGGGGCAAGCATCAAACGGGTGGGATGAGAGAGCATCGGGTGGGCGGGGCAAGTGAGCGAGCGCCGAGTGGCGACGAGGTCAGGGGCACGGCCAACCAGAAATTAGTACCGTTTCAGTAACCCACACCAAATCCCTGGTACCAGTTCACCCAAACTGGTTAGAACTGGCTGAATATCACCACTGATGAAGACCAATCAGGCTTTCTGCCAAAAAGATAGCTAAGAGACAGTTTGAGGACTGTTTTGAATATTATTGCTTACAATAGCATAATGAGAAACAGGAAGCTTTAATATTTCTAAATGCAGAGAAGGCCTTTGACAACTTAATTTGGGTCTTTATGTTTAAAGTGTTGTAAGAAATGGACTTTGGAGAGAATTTTATTCAAGAAATTAAAGTAGTTTGCACATCACCGAAAGCAAAAATTGTCTTCATGGTGATCTAGCCAACATGTGAAATTCAAAACAAGACAAGAATGTTCCTTGTCCCTTCTGCTGTTTATCTTGGCAATGGAAGTTTTGAATAGAGGTATTAGGCAAAATGATAAAATAAGGGGTATAAATATTAAGAAAGAAGTTTATAAATTGAGGGCATTTGCTGATGATCTTATATTCTTGGTAATATTCTTGCAAAGCCCCCCAAAATAATATATTTGATGAGGAAATTAGATGAATTTGGAGCCTTGGCAGGTTTTAAAATAAATAAACAGAAAACAATGTTGATTAAGAATATGTCTTCTCAGGACAACCAGATTGTTGGGGGCAATATGCTGACTCTAAACCACTTAGAGAAAGTTGTAAAGCACTGTGAAGGGTATATAAGTCTAAGTGCTATTGCTATATACCATGTTGCTCAGTTTATGTCTGAGTGTTTTATTCTTTAAACCAGGGGTCCCCAACCACCAGGCTGCGGACCGGTACTGGTCCGTGGAACATTTTCTACCAAGCCACCGGTTTGCTAGGCGCCGCCATCTGTGTTTTGATGAGAAAGTGCTTCCGGTGAGCTTTTCCAGTTGGAAAGCAGCGTTTGGGTCCTGAAGGAATCCTCGCACCTTAGTTTCATCGAAGTGGGGGGGCGGCTTCAAACAAAACTAAGGCACAAGGATTCTTTTAGCACCCAAGGCAAGGCGACCTGAGTGACCGTCCTGAAGCCATCTTGAAGCCCATCGACAAAGGTACAAAGGAGGAGTTGAAGGTGGCGGGGAGAAGCGGGGGACGGCTGACTGGCAGTCGCTCGGCTCGCCTTGCCATGCATGCTGATGCCGGTACTGGGCCGCGGATCATTTTGTGATGCCTGTACCAGGCCGTGGCACAAAAAAGGTTGGGGGCTACTGCTTTAAACTGCTTTAGTGTATTCTTGGGTTTAAAGTGTGCATGTGTGTTGTGTTGGCTAAAGATCCTCCTAAGCTTTTCAGATATTCCTGAATGGAATGACAACATTGCTTCATTTATTCTTCTTCTTTTTGTCTGTTAAGGAAGAGTTCCTGCTGGATCTTTCTGGGAATTTGATGAAGGTCCACTTAGGATAGCCACATGTTCTGAGGGCTTCCTTGGTCTGCTTTGGTTCTTTTTCTTTCCCATTTTTGATGCAGCTCACTGGTGTAAGGTTCTGTTAACCCCATTTTGTGCTCCAGTGGGTGGTGAGAATTAAAATGTAAATATTGATGTCCCTGTGTGTGTTTTCTGTAAACTTTGATGTTAATGTCTTCCTTAATGTGTACTGAACAGTCCAGGAAGTCTAGACTATTTTCCTTAACATCTTTTCACATGAATTTTATGTATCTGTCGACAGAGTTGATATGTTTGGTGAATGCTTCAAATTCCTGTGTTCTGATCTAAACTCAAATAATTTTCTTTTATTATCTTTCACATTAGATTTATCCCACAAACAAATTTTTGAGGGCCAGACTAACAAGAGAAAAAGTATATCTATATATCCAGTGTATTCATATACTGGATTATTATGTAGTCCAGTATTATACTGAAACAATATGAAAGTCTGAGGCAAACATCTAAAAGGTGCCATTGACTATTAAAGAGGGATGGATCTTACCAAGTTGAGGACTGAGTTTCTGGTGGAACAGCACAACAGAAAAATTTTCTCCAACTGCCTATAAAACAGATGGAAAACAATTTTAGGAAAACATTTTTGATCTACATTTCATTAAGAAAGCATCCCAGGTCATAAAAAGGAAAAATCAAAGTAGCCATTTTGTGATATTGCCGGTAGCATAAAGATTCCAAGAGCATTCATCTGATGTAAAAGGCAAACTTTTAAAAATACTAATAAAATGTCAAATTTCCTGGTACACATTATACTCACACATCATAAGAAATATCCCAAATGGTGGCAGGTCTAATACATAAACATTGATAAATAGTTTTACAAGGCTGTGTGCTTTCTCCACTTCTCTTCTCCCTATATACCAATGACTGCATCTCAAAGGATCCATCTGTTAAAATACTGAAGTTTGCAGATGATACAGCAGTGATTGGTCTCATTCGAGACAACGATGAATCTGCATACAGATGGGAGGTTGCAGAACTTGCCTCATAGTGTAACCGGAACAATCTGGAACTGAACACACTCAAAACTGTAGAAATGGTGGTAGACTTTAGGAGAAACTCTCCCATACTACTACTTCTTACAATACTAGACAACACAGTATCAACAGTAGAGACCTTCAAATTTCTAGGTTCTATCATATCCCTAGACCTAAAATGGACACCTAACATCAAAAATGTCATCAAAAAAGCATAACAAAGAATGTTCTTTCTGTGCCAATTCAGAAAGCTCAAACTGCCCAAGGAGCTGCTGATATAGTTCTACATAGGAATTATTGAGTCTGTCATCTGCATCTCTGTAACTGTCTACTTTGGTTCTGCAAGCCAACAAGACAGACTCAGGCTCCAGAGAGTAATTAGGACTGCAGAAAAAACAATTACTACCAACCTGCCTTCACTGAGGACCTGTATACTGCATGAGTCAAAAAGAGGGCTGTGAAAATGTTTACAGACCTCTCACATCCCAGACATAAGCTGTTTCAACTCCTACCCTCAAAACGATGGTATAGAGCACTGCACACCAGAACAAGGAGTTTTTCCCCAAACGCTATCACTCTGCTAAACAAATAATTCCCTCAACACTGTCCAACTATTTACAAAGACTATTACTATTAATCTTCTCATCACTCCTTATCACCCATCACCTCCCACTTGTGACTGTATGACTATAACTCTGTTCCTTTTATCCTTAAGATTTATATTAACTGTTTCCTAGTATGATTTGATTGCTTATTGTACCCTATGACTATTATTAAGTGTTGTACCTTATGATTCTTGACTCTTGATTAATGTATCTTTTCTTTTATGTACACTGAGGGCATTTGCACCAAGACAAATTCCTTGTGTGTCCAATCACACTTGGCCAATAAAGAATTCTATTCTATAATCATGAGAAGAAACAATATGCTGCTTATAGTATTGAAAAATGCAGGATAACGATAGTGTAGTCATGTGATTTAAAAATAATCATTCATCTGTATCCTACAAACTACTTACTATGTGCCATTAAATCAGATTCTTTTAGAAATTATTTTCACTGAAGTTTAAAAATACAATTTTTTAAAATAACTAATAATAATATAAGAAACTAATATAAACTAAGATAAATACAAAAAAAAAGTATAAAGAAGAAAAGAGGGAATGTGAAAGGAGGAAAATATGTAAAAGAACAAAAGATTGTATGTTTGTGTGTGTTTGTATTTTACTTTCCCCTTCATCAAGTACAATTTTAATCATATCACTTTCTATAAAATGTTGATCACATAATTCATCTTTTATCTATTAGTAAATAATAAATCCTCATCATTTAATCTTAATGAGCAAAAGACCATTGCAAACTACAAAAACAATATACATGCACACACACTTTTAATAGTAACACAGTTTCTTATTCTTTTCATTTACTTTATCCAATAGCTTAGAACTTTCTATGAAAATCTAAAAAAACCCTCTTCTTTCCATACCTTATCCTATATTTATAAACAAATCTTTAAAGCCTCATTTTTAAAGTTTCAAAAATAATTGTTTAAAATCTACCAAAAATAACAAAATGTTGAAATTGAATCCAATCAATGTCTCACAAATTAATTTCTTCTCATTTTCTATTCATCTGTCAGAATGATACCATAGCTTACCACTTTTTCTGAAGATACAACAAAAAACTTTCTTCCCCATATCTATAAAGAAATTTTAAAGCCTCATCATTCAGTCCATCACTCACTCTAAAAAAAAACATTAAGCTATAAGAAGAAAAATGTAATACATATTTCAACTATGGTTAAATAAGTCAACTTTATAATTTTTTCTTTGTACATTTAAAAGATATGATGTTTATTCTTTTTAAGTAATGTCCCCAAAATGTATTTCTTTTAATGTTCTATCTTTTGTCAGGAACTCCTTGAGAATCCATCCCTTTTTAAGTTCAAAATAAATAAAAAAAATTCAAGTCATTCTTCTGATCTAAAATTCAAACATCCAAGTCAATCTTATGAATTATTTGTGCATCCTTTTTAGCTATTAAGATTCATTTGTGAATCTTTGTCACTATTATTCTTGTACCCTGCCACTTTAAAATCCATATTTAAAGCAGTCTGATTCTCAGCTGAATCCTATTTTCAATTTTGAACCCATTTGATAGTAATAAAATGTTCTCAGTACATTGTTGCTAAATATCCTTGAATTCTGCCAAATCTTTCTCCATTCTATATTAGAATGTATTCTCCTTTAATTATAATCTTTAGTTCTTTCTTTCTTAGTTTTTTCACATTGTCTTTAGTAACTAGCATTCGTATCATGTTTTTTTTCTAATCCATCATATTTTCCCAGGAAAAGATTTCTTATACTTAAATTCAAAATCTTTGTATATTTTAACAGGATTTTAAACAAACCACAGAAATTAATTTTTATAACTATTTCATAATCTTATTTCCAGTCAATTTAGCTCCTTAGTCCATTTTAAAACTTTCTTAAATAAATGCTCTGTTCATCTTTTTGCTCTTTATTTCCAAACAAAAGGTTTTAATTTATACAAAACTTCCTTTCACCAAGGAGACCCCACCCAGTGTAATGAAACCTATCCTTCTAAAATTTCTTGTTTTATTTGAAGACGTTTCACTTCTCATCCAAAAAGTTCTGACTAAATAGTGGAGAATGGAAAGATTTATATTCCTTGCGGTTATCTGGTCATTAGCACTCTTTCTGAGAGTCAGGGTGGCCACTTGAAGGTTTATCTGTGACCTCCGATAAAGAGATTTTCAGGAGACAATTTAGCACATTTATGCCTAATTCTGTGGCGTGTCTAATAAAATGATTTTTGAAATCCACTTTCAGCTTAATTTTGTTGTATTAGAAATAAGTATTCTCAGGAGTTTTCTCCAATACCAAATTTCAAAAGGTATCAATAGTCTTCCTATCCTGTTTTTTGAAACTTTTGTGCCATAGCAGGTCATAGGGAATACTACGGTTTGCATACTTCTGATCTTTAGGTATAGACACACTGAGGAGCTTAAACAGCTTCGAAGGCTTTATGGCTTCTCTACAAGAGCTAGCCTACAACTTATTTATTGACTGCTGATTCCTTTACTGTTGAGGTTAATCCTAAAAAGCAAAAGCTATCCACAACTTTAATAGCTTCATTGTCAGCTCTACTTGCTATTATTAGTTTCAGCTACTTTATGTTCAATTTTTGCCCCATTTTTTCACTATGCTCTTTGATTTTTAGTACTAGGGCTTGCAGATACTTTGCATTTTGGCTATCAGGGTAGCGTCATCAGCATAATTCAGATTATGCATCTTTCTTCCTTCAGTTTTAAAACCATATTCATTTCTTCCAATCTAGCTTCCCTTAATGTATATTCAGCATATAAATTGAATAAAAAGGATAGAGTATGCAGGCTTATCAAACTCTTTTGCTAATCTGGAGCCAGTCTGTTTCTCCATGTTCTGTATCTATAGTAAGTTTCTCATGAACACTCTGAGGTGTTCTGAAATTCCCATTTTGCTGAGCACTTTCTACACTTTGATATTATCAACATAATTAAAAGCTTTTTTATAATCAATGAAGCACATAGTGGTTTCTTTTTAGTATACTTTGACTGTCTCAATTATCTAGCATACATCAGCAATAATGTCTTTTGTTCTTCAGCCTTTTCTAAAGTTAGCTTGAATATCTGGCATCTATTTTTCCATGAAAGGCTCTAATCTGGCTATTTTGCAAGCATGTAAAATTAAGCATATAGTGTTCCCAGTGTTAATTTTTTGGTATTGGAATGTAGACTGACTTCTTTAGGTTGTCATTGTATTGTTTATTGTAGTTTCTGAAACCAAGACTTACGTAACCAAGGAAAAAATAAGTTAGAACACTATCGCCATTAAGTTCCCCCAAGAGTTGCCTTCCTCTCCTTATAGAGTTGCTGCTCCTAATGTGTTGGGATTTTAACTCTTCCCCACTATAAAATAACCACCACTAATGTGAAGGAATCAGATTTGATTTCCTTACAAGTGAATCATTAGAGAAACATTTTATATTCTTCTAATATACTATGGTTGAGTCTGTGCAGGGAGCAGGATTAGAAGGCCAGGACTAATTTGAGCTAGAAGAGATTACAAAAGATAAACAAGACTGCTTACAACTTATTCAAACTGCACACAATTCATGAAGAAATTTGTTGTTTCAGGAACCTTAGTTATGTCTCAGAACACAGGAACACTGCCTTGTGAACCAGAACAAAAATATTATCAACATCGCAATAGCTGGTTTAGAATGGAAAGAAACTATGCATTATGGTTTCAGAGCCATGACTTTACTCAGTTCCAAAATGTATTTTGTGAACATAGTATTTCATTTAGCTATTAATGGCTTAGCAATAATTTATTAGTAAAGAATATAGAACTGAAGGACGGAAATGGAAATCAGTGAACACAGAATTATAGGCCTGGAAGAGATATTGGCTGCCTTCTAGTTCAATCCCCTGCCCAAGACAGAAATCCTTACTTTGTCCCTGACAAATGGATGTACGATCTTCTTAAAAGTGTCCAGCAATGGAGCATCCACAATTTTGGGAGGCAAGTTGTTTTCCTTAGTTCCAAGTATGACTTTCTTTTACCCATTTCTTCTTGTCCTACCCTCAGATGCTTTGAAGAATACATCAATCCCTTCATCTCTTGACAGCCACTCGAGTACATGGACAGTTATCATGTCTTTGATAGCCTAGACTAGTGGTTCCCAAAGTGGGGGTACTGCCCCCTGGGAGGCAGTAGGATGCCTTAGGGAGACGCTAAGAGGCAAGGGGGCTGGCAGGGGGGCACTAAGAGGTGGCAGGGGGTGTTCGAGGCGCCGGCCTTGCAGGTTCACCCATTGTCTAGCATCACTCCGGAGCCAGCGCCTCCAATACGGAAGCAGTGGCACGTTACATGCCACCGTAGCCGCGTTCGACGCACCCCCCGCCACCTCTTAGCGCCCCTCTGCTGGTCCACTTGGGGATGCTAAGAGGCGGCAGGGGGGCGTTCGAGGCGCCAGCCCTGCAGGTTCACCCAGTGACTGTTGTAACGCTCCGGAGCCGGCGCCTCCAATGCGGAAGTGGTGGCACATTATGTGCCACCACGGCCACGTTCGATGTGCCACCTCCCTGCCACCTCTTAGTGTCCCCAAGGGTAGAGGGGTGCTAAGAGACAGCAGGGGCATTCGAGGCGCTGGCTGGCCCTGCAGGTTCACCCATTGAGGTTCTGGCTCCGGAGTCGATGTTTCCCAATGTGCCTGCAGGGGCGGCACCTCGAACACAGTGGCAGTGGCACGGCTTTGCTCTACTTTTCCAACGCTGCACCACTGCCTGCCCTAGGCTTCCTCAACCCTGTCCTGTACTGGCTCCAGGAAGCAGGGAACAGCACCGCCCTCTACGATGTGAGTGCCCTGGGAGAGGGGGGTCGCTTGGGAGGCTGATCCCTGGTGCGAGGGGCAGCCTGTGAACTTGCTGTCAGGCACGGCAACTACAAAGAGGGGCAGGCTTGGTTGAGCAGGATCCTGGATATTGGGCATGTGGTCAAAGCCTTCCTACCTATCTACCAATCTATCTATCCATCCATCCATCCATCCAATAGGTCTGTCTATCTGTCTAACTTTCTGTTTGTCTACCTACCGACCTACCTACCTATCCATCCATCCATCCATCCATCAATACATACATACATATACATACATACATCTAACTATCAATCTACCTACCTATCTACCTACCTACATATCCATCCATCCATCAATCCATCTATCTTCCTACCTACCTACCTACCCATCCATCCATCCATCCAAAAGGTTTGTCTGTCTTTCTGCCTGTTTGCCTGCCTGCCTGCCTATCTACCTACCTACCAATATATATACCTACCTACCAATATATTTACCTACCTACCTACCTATCTGTCTGTCTCTCTTTCTCTATCTATTCATCCATCCATCCATGTTTGAGGTGCCAGCTCCACAGGCACATCAGGAAAGTAGGGCAAAGCCAGTCTGGGAGAGAGGGACGGAGGGAGGGAGGGAGAGAGAGAGAGAGAGAGAAAGAGAGAGACCTGATGTACCAGATTGAAATGAGGCCTAGTTTAGACCGGCCCTTTTCCACATTGAAACATCTTTGCCAGCACATTGAAACATCTTTGACTTCTATTAAAGGTTTTGCGGACGAAACATGGTCAAGACTATCAGGAAGCTCTCAAATTTTGTTGAGGCTTTAAACAGGATCCATTGGACCAGACCTCCACCCTAAAAAATTACTTTTCCCCAATGAATTATAGTGCCAATTCTGAAGAAGGCAAAACCAAAATGTACTGGTAATTACAAGGAGAATACACACACACACTCCCCTCTAACCCTACTGGAGCAGGTGATTGGACGAGAATAGATATTTCATTATCTTCCTTCTCCCTCCCTCCCTCCCTCCCTCCTTCTTTATTTCTTTTTCTTTCTGTCCCTTCCTTCCATCCCCCCCTCTTTTTGTCCCTTTTTCTTTCTTTCCCTTTTCTCTTTCTTTTCTTCCTTCTCTCTTTCTCTCTCTCTTTCTTTTCTTTCTCTCTCTTTCCCTCTCTCAGGCTCACCCCATTGACTTGGTGCACTGCTCTGCTCAGACTTGCTTGGGCAGGTCCCTCTGGTGCAGCGGGCTCAATGGAGTGGACCTGCGGGGCCAGCACCTAGAACGTGGCAGTGCCGGCACATTTGAAAAGTAGAGCAAAGCCAGAGGTCAGTTATTTTTGCTGCAAAGAATAACAAAAGCTTTTGGGCTGTGCACAAGAAGGGACACACATGTCAATGCAATTCAGCAACATAAAATAAAGAAATACAAATAAAACAAATCAACAAGAATGAGCAAAGCATCTCTGATTAGATTCTATTCACTACTAGAATCTAATCAGAGATGCTTTGCTGATTCTAGTCCAATGACCTGCTCCAGCAGGGTTAGAAGGGAGTATTTGTATATGTGTGTGTGCATGGCTGTCAAAATTCCAAAAACAGGTCAAGTAGCTCTGGGGAGGCCAGTCATAAATTAGAACACTTGCTAAACAACCAGACATTTAGTGAGGACCCCTTGTATTTGGTTTACCAGTGACCTGGCCACACCCACCCAGTCACATGCCCACCAAACCACACCTACCCAGTCATGTGACCACCATGCCACGCCCACCCAGTCACATGGCCAGCAAGCCACACCCTCAAATTAGGCCACACCCATAGATATTTGAATCCCACCCCTGGGGTGGGAGGCACCGAAGATGAATTTATAGCACCAAGGGGGCAGTGGACTGAAAAAGTTTGGGAACCACTGGCCTAGACATTCCTAGCTCCTTTAAGCATTCATCATAAGGTTTAGACCATTATCATCTTTGTTACTCTTCTCTGCATTCTTTCTAGGACCGCAACATGTAGCATGTTGTATCATGAGGGTCAGAACTGAATGCAGTATTCTAAATATGGCTTTACTAATGCAGGATAGAGTGATACTATCACTTCTTGCAGATGCATGTTGATTTCCTTACAAATCAGAACATTTCTAAAACCCATGTTAAGGAAAGCTTTCAGACAAAAAAAAAATCACAAGAAGCAGATTTGGCTATGTTGGAAGAAAAACTATGGTCTCATTTAAAATTTTACCTATTATACTTGAAACTGACTATTAAATCAGAAGGTATGTCATTCAGTGACATTGTTATGCAAATGACATAAAATGATGCAAACACAATCAGAGCCCAGCTGCTATATCTAAACTCTGTTATATCAAAGTCCAATGAATCAAATTTTATTATATTTTAAACCATAACAGCTATGAACTATTTAAGGATACCTCAGGAATGCTGTAGAGATGAGATGATGAAAATTTATGAGCAAAAAGTAGTTGCTTATATCATGAAAGGATCCTTTTAAATATTTACATTGCTCGCCACGGTTCATCTGTCAATTTCATAGTTCCAGCATTCCAGCCTTTATCCCTCATCCCAAAATACTGGATGTCAACCAATCAAACTTTGTGTTTGTATTTATATGTTCAAATTTACATCCCAGCTTTCTTTCAGGATCTCAGAGAAGCACTTTTTGCACTATTACTTATCTCTGGCAAAAGCCTTCTAATATAAGTGGATTCATGACTGACACTTTTTCTGTAGCTGCTTAATTTTTGCTAATTATGGAAAGTTCTCTTGAGAAGCTCAGGGGTCAGAATATGTCACCTTTTCCTCACCACCCCCCTTTATCTTCACAACAAGTATCCTGTCCTGGAAGCTGGAAACAAATCTGAGTTAGTTCATCTTGGTTCGGACATAATAAAATTTGAATATGTGAACCTGGTAAGTGAATGACCCAGAGAACTTCTGGGTTGACTGAAAGTGGCTTTCCAAGTTGTCTTCGGATTCGTATTTGAATACTTTGCCAGCACACCACGATGCCTCTGAGTTACGGGGGCATCCTATAACTCAGAGGTCTCTATAACTCTATAGTTATACAGAGGACTCTCTATAATTTAGAGGTCGCTTTCAGTGGTAATAAACCGGTCTTTGGATCTCTCTTGCTCGCACATTAGCAGCCCAATTCTTCCCGCGGGCTCCCCACGTGCGTCCCTCACCTTTATTCTTCCCCATGCTTTCAATACTCGCTGTATACCCGCATGTAGTTGGTAACACGGCAGCAGCAGAAAGGTGCTGTTTGCTGGCTTTCTGCGGGCCCGGCACTGAGCGTCCCCGTCCCCAGCATCGCGCCTGGCAAGGCACGGTGCTGCCCCACAGCAAGTCCGACGTCACGGGAAGCTTTTTGACATCACGACTCCGGGATTGTCTCCCAGGCCTTGCCACAGCCGCCGCCCTCCTCACGGTGGACCCGCAACCCCTGTGGCGAGCCCTCCAAAGACTGCATCTGCTTGTTTGTCTCCTGGGGGAATGTGCACATATTTCCCTTCATTAGCCTCCTTCCCAGCGCCTCTAGGACTGGCTGTTGGACAAGGAGGGTGGAAAAGCCAGAAGGCGTGTTGACTAACTGGGTGCGAAGCAGGGCTGAGAGTCTATTTTCAGAAGCTGCCATTGAGCTTGCATTCAGCCAGATCCCCACAAGCCTTGCTCGAAGGCAGAGAATGGTGCCTTTGAATGCCTTCAGTAACTTGGATTTGTACTTTTTGAGGGGTGGGAGGCTGGGGAATAACGCCTTGTACTTTTGCAGCGGTTCAATAGATTAGTATTTTTCATTCAAGGTAACAAAACTTGTGATAAAAAAGAATGCTAAGGGATTATGCAGGCTACAGGAATCAGTGGGCAAAAAGTTATACCGTGGGTAGGATACTTTTGGGAGAGGATCATATGAACCTTTGGCCTTCAGATCCCGGGGAGTCTTAAAAGGATGGTCCTTTGATCTTGAGGAAAGGATTGTTTTCTTTCTTTCTTTCTTTCTTTCTTTCTTTCTTTCTTTCTTCTTTCTCTTTCTTTCTTTCTTTTTTTCTTTCTCTCCCTCCCTCTCTTTCTTTTATAACTTTTATTAATTACACAGTAAAATATTGGATACAGTGCAACTGTCCTGGCATCATCCTTGCCTTACATACTAAAGTATAGCTTAACTAGTATATACATTTATAAAGACAGCATAACATCTTCTGTACTGCTAGTTTCACATCTTTGTCTTATCCATTATATTCAGTTGAGATTACATACATAACCTTGGCTGTCCATCTACGAATCCTAGTTATTTTTTATTCTGGGTCCCTCCTTTCCATTCCCACCATTGGTAAAATTTATTCCACATCTCATTATATTCTGTCTCACCTTTATTTTTCAATTCCAACATCAGTCTATCCATTTCTGCGCAAATCAGTATTTTCTTTATCGCATCATCTTTCTCTATTTTTCCATTGTTGAGCAAAAACCATTCTTGCTGCCATTATAATATGTAGTATTAGCTAGGTCATCTCTTTACTATATCTCTCTTTTGTGATTCCTAATAAAAATAGTTCTGGTTTGAATTCTACTTTTTGTCCAATCATCCCTTCCAACCATGTCTGAATCTTTCAACAAAACTTCCTTGTTTTTTTACATGGCCACCACATATGATAATACATGCCTGATTCTTGATTACATTTCCAACAAATTGGTGATAGATTTCTAAACATATTTGCCAGCCTTGCTGGAGAAAGGTGCCACCTATAAAACATCTTGTATATGTTTTCTTTGTACGATATGGCCAGCGCAGGGGTGAAATTCAAAAATTTCCCCTACTGGCTCTGTGGGCGTGGCTTGGTGGGACTTAGGAAGAAGAAAAAAAGGAAGAATGTGGGTGGGCGGTGGCAGGGCCAACCAATTCAAATTGTTTCTACCACCTCTCCAAACCGATTCAAATTATCCCTACCACCTCTTCCAAGATGGTGCAAGGTGGCTGAATTTCACCCCTGGGCCAGTGTTATTTTCCTATTTCTTTCCCATAATTCTGGCGATTTTTCCAATTCAATATTATACCCAAAGTTTTTGGCCCATACCACCATTGACTTGTTCTTCCTCCATCTTATAATCCAATAAAAATATACATTTTCTTCATCTGTCCCCAATAAAATTTTATCTGATGTCATTGGTTCTCTATTAATTCCTCACTCTTTCATATCTTTCAAGTAACGTAATTGAATTTGTAAATATGACCACCACTCCAATTCTGCCCCTTGTTCTTTTAGTTCTTGTCTAGATTTCAATTCCCCTATTTCATTTATTATATCCTTGTACATGACAATTTTTCTCTGATTAATGAGATTTGGGTGTACCAGCGCTTCTAAGGTGGATAACCACACTGGAATTTCCATGTAGTTCTGCTGTTTAACTTTGTTCAATACCACAAATAGAGCCTGTCTTATATGTTGTCTTTGAAAGTATTGATGTGCTCCATGTCTTCCGTACCTCAGGACTGCATGCCACCCTAGGTGTAAATCATGGCCCTCTAACATTAGTAGTCTCTTATGCTTTAAATTTATCCATTCTTTCACCCAGGAAGCATTGCTGCTTGATAATATAATTCCCAATCGGGCAAACTGAACCCTCCTGTTTCTTTTGTTTCTTGCAGTAGTTTTAGTTTGATCCTTGATTTCTTTCTTTGCCATATAAAGTTCAATGTTATTTTATTCAAATTTCTGAAATATTTTTTATCTAATTTTATAGGTATGTTTTGAAACAGAAAGAGTAGTTTTGGTAGAATATTCATCTTAAAAAGATTATGTCGGGTGGGATTCAACCGGTGTTACAATTGGTTCAGCAAGAGTGCATTTTGCATGCACGCATGCAGTGTGCATCATTTGCAAAAAATCATCAGCTGTGCTGCCTGGACAGCTGACAAGCACTGTGCACGGGTGCACAGCATTTGAAAATCTTCTTCTTTCCTGCTTTTTCAACCTCAGCTGTGCAGTGCAAAGCAGCTAAGGTTGAAAAAGCAGGAAATAAAGGACAGCCAAGAGCCTGGGTAGGCAGGTAGACCAAACAGATGATCAGAAGGTCATCACAACAAACCAGTTTGGTGTCAGCTGCTCTTCAGAGCTACCAGTTCTATAGAACTGGGCCGAATCTGTAGCATCCCACCCCTGAATTAAGTCCCTTTTCAAAAGCAGACTGGGAGCCCTGCTTGGTTGAATGTCTGTTTCCTGGGAATCACTTCAGGCTCCTCTCCCTCAGCAAAACGAGCAGACTACATTATACCTTACCCTTGGTCTTATTTTGCTAAAAAGAAATATAATTTCATGTGAAAAGGGAAAGAATATTGAAGACTAATTCAATTTTTAAAAGATATAAGAAATATAAGGAAGAAAAAGGGGGAAAGAAACTACAAGCAATAAAAATTCAAATTTTATAATTTCTGAATAATTAATAGACTTTAAGTATGATATTACTGCTAATTAGCATATTACTAATATACAGAATGTGATTGATTCAATTCGAATTGATAAAAAGAATAAGAAAAACTATAAATAATAAAGAGTACACTTAAAATAACTGTAAATCACATTTAAATTATATATCAGACTAAAATATAGACTCTAAAGTTCACATCTTTGTCACTATGTTCCACCCAGACTGTGGCTTCCTGAGGTACATTCAAATTCCACATGAGAATAACAATCTGAGATTTTCATTATACCAGAGGTGGTATTCAGCAGGTTCTGACCAGTTCTGGAGAACCGGTAGTAGAAATTTTGAGTAGCTTGGAGAACCAGAAAACACTACTCTGACTGGAGATTTTACAGTATCCTTCCCCTGCCATGCCCACTAAGCTACGCCCACAGAACCAGTAGTAAAAAAATTTGAATCCCACCACTGCATTATACTATGGACATTTTAAAGTTTGATATGGTCACCCTAGTTCAAACCTTTTCTATAATCAATGAGGCAGATATGGGAGGGTTTTTTTTTAAAGTATCCAGTATGCAATCAGTATGCATCCATCAGCAATAATCTCTTGTATCTCACCTGTTTAAAAATAATCTTGAACATCTAACCTCTCCCCTTTCAAGTGTAATATCTTTTTCCACATCTGATTTTCATTGGATGATCCTGACCTTTATTTTTGCTAGCCCATGGAAAGTAAGGATATTGCACAATATTTTGTATGGTTTATTTTCTTTTCTTTGCTACTAGAGTATAGGCACATGTGTTGTTCTAGCATAGTTTGGTTAGAACCTCCTTCTATGGTTGCTTGCTATATTTCTATAAGCATTTCATTAGTTTCTGCAGCCTTCCCACTTGTTAATGCCAGACAACCATGACCACAGAGAAGGCACAACTTCCTTAGTCCCAAAAGATTACATTTAATCAATGTGCTCTAGAGCATACTCATTCTTTTCTACTTTCATTGTTAATGTCTTTACTAGATATCGCTGCAACACTTTTTCTTGCCTCTTCTAACAGCCATCTTAAATTCCTCGTAATTTCCTTCCTAAGACCCTTCTTTGCTTTGGCTTCTCTTCATGGAAATTTTCATTGTTTTGTTCTGTTGTTTTACTCTACTTCTTGATCTTGGCAATCTCTATTCCCATTTATCCTTAACATCTTCTATTATTTAATTCCACAGTTCCTCTGATTCCCTAACAATAGAATTCAAGATTTCAAAGCAGTTTCTAATATTTTCTCTGAAAATAGTGGGCTTACAGTATGTTCAATATGATATCATATAAAGTTTTGGTTTTGTGTTTACTTTGGTTTGGAACTTCCGTAGGAATTGTTGTAATCTAATTCAATGACAGCCCTTGTATCCTCTTTTTAATGATTGGAGCAAAAATTGAATATTTGTAATATGAATGAATTGTTTTATTTGGTTATTGTATTGTAGCCAAATACTGCTCTTTCTATACTTCTCAATAGCAATGCCATTCCCTGTTTTCAAGTTTTGGTCTGTGGCAGTATGATCTCTTGTCCAATTCTAGTCCATTTCAATTTGTTAATACCAAACTTGCCAATGTTACATAGCCTATTTATTTCATTTTGTGTTGTGTCAACTTTTCCCTGGTTTGTGCTTATGGTCCCTGTTTCCACTGCAATTGTCTTTCAAGCTTCAGATTTTATTTTTCCTGCATAGCACCAGCAACAAAATGTTCCAAGTTTTTTTAATTTAGTCATGTCATAAACACTATTAATAAGCTGAAAGATCCTCAGCAGTGTGTAGAATGCCATCTAGCCTGAGAGATCCATTATCCATCACTACATCATAAGTATCGTGCTGTTTTTCTAGTAAATAAAGGAATTGTCCTTTCCCACACAATGTGAAATAATTCCTTTGCTACTGTCACTCAAGCGAACATCCAACTCCAACATCTTTTTGTATCATTGCTTTAGCTTCTTGGGTGATCATAGCTGATCTTGTTAGAACTAAATCCTATGAGTGTACACTTCTGGGATATTCTGTCCTAGGAACGCTCATATCCATCATGATGAGCCAGAGTAGTAATAGTTGAGAGGGGCATTCAGAGAATGTATTACATATTTCATATGATTTTTACCTCTTTGCCAGTGCATTCAAGACAGTTCAAAATCTTAAATTACTGAAAGTTTTAAAAAAGAAATAACAGACTTTTTTTTTTCCTATGGGCTGAAGATGTCTTCTGCAGCCATCTGCTACCACTTTCTAGCTTCAGGCTAAATGGAAACCTGTGCATGTATATTTGTCTGTGAACTGGCCCTCTCAATTTAGACATTAGTATTGGTATTGGTTAAGTGTTTCATTGTGACATCATTCACATTATAAGGTTATTATAAATGTTAATTTGACATTTAGTTTGAACTGTCATAAACAAACAGAAACTAATACACTTTAACTATCCGACATCACAACAATCAAATCGCTTAGATAAAACCTTGAAAAAAATGGATTATAAAATTATTTTCTCTGTTATTTTTGCTGCTGTGTAATTATTACTAATTTTTACACTTTTAAATATATATTTAATAAACTATATTTTGGTAGGGAAAATTTTTCTATCTCAAGGAAAAAAGCAACTCTGGAAGAAATGGATTATTTAAGTAAACTCTTCACCCTGCAAGGAGGAAATGGGGTGTGGGTGGGGAGATGGGCCAGGTATAGAACACTGTATGACAGAACTTTATCTGAATGAGAAGGCAGTAACCAGTGATCATCTCTTTCTGCCTCTTTCTCTCTCCCCCCCCCCGCCAAGTTCACTTAGCAACCATCTCACTGGAATCAATTTCAGTCACTAAACAAGGACTACCTCTATTTAGTAGTCCTGCCTCCAATTTTCTCTATAACAATCCTTTGAAGTGCATGGAAAAGAATCTTCCTCTTTGAAAAATCAGATCAGTTTTGTTTACATCAAAATAATATTTTTTTAGTATTTATGTTTAAATACTAAAAGATGAGGCAACACAAACTGAAGAAATTCATCTATATTTGTGCTCTTGGGGAGTGGTAAGACTAGGGAATGGAATATTGTAAATTGGAGATGGCTCTGCAAAAAGTGGAGTGCAAAAAAAATGCAAAAGTGGAGCTGGCAACCGTGGCAAAGATCAAAAGACTGGTAGACTAACTCCCTGGGATATCTTTGGAGAGCTCAGGAAAGCATCCACATGTGCTCAGATGTCTACTCATAAGGAGACTGCAACACAATGGTTTTCTATCTGTTTGACTACCAGGAGATGACAGAATCATCCATCTGGTTGCAAATACAGTGGAGATTTTTAAAGGACACAAAATTTCCAAACCTTACTTTCTAATTTTCAGAAATTCTCTATTAATTATTTTTAAACTATTAGAGAATTTCAGGATGGCAGGTTTGAAAAGTCTTTAGCAGATGATTTTAAAGAAAATGTAATTACAAGCTTAGGAAATTGAAATAAATAACAAAAAGCTAAATAAGTTTTTTGATTTGAGAAAGTTATAAATGGATTACAAATGGGAATACTGACTCTTACTCTTATATTTGAAATTAACTATAAAAATAAAGAAGTTGTCATGGGAAATAGAATTATTTTGCTTTTCCTTGCAATTGCAAGTCATAACAAAAGGTAAATGATGATTTCAGAAACTGAACACTAGAGGGAACTAAAGTTTAAGTTGAAGAAAAGACTATAAGCCTGGTGTTAACACTAGAATTTACAGAATGATAGTACATATAACATTAGAAATATTAAAGGAGATCTCTGAAGAATAGAGCCAGAAGTTAGCAATTATAAGATCAACACCAGTAGTAATGATTTCTACATTTATTGATACACTATGTCTAAAAATGAAGTATTAACATATCTGGAACAAATTTATCTAATAAGATTACAAATGACAGGACAAGAGAATGGTTTGGAAAAGGATGTTGTACTAGATAAACAAAAGAAAGTGGGCAAAGTTTTAAAAATTAAAAAAGGGAAATACAAATGATAAACCAACAAAATGACCTGGAAAAAATGTTTTCTTATTGGATTTACAAAAGAAGCTTGTTAAAGCCTTGAGGAAAGCTGCATTGATATTGTCACTACCACCAGAAAAGTACGGGTGTTTTCTAACAACAAGCCCTGGATAAATAGAGTGTCTTTTATTAAGAGCTAGAAATGCTGCTTCCCATTCTGGTGATGCACTACAGTACAGTGAGGCAAGAGCTAAATTAAAAAAGGGCATCAGGGACACTAAAACTACTTACAGACAGAGGACTGAACATCATTTTGAGAGCTCGGACTTTTGTCAGGTATGGCAAAATCTGTAACAAATTATGGGGCAGAGCAACAAAAATAGTTTTTCTAGCAGTAGTGATTCTTTGGCTGAGCAGCTAAATCAATTCTTCAGCCATTTTGAGGTGGAAACAGCAATGACCATCATTCCAGCATCTACCACTGATAGTATACCACTAACACCTACAACCAGCAAGCTCAGAGAATAAACCACCACCAACAGTGTTACAAGTAACAGGAAGGAATGTAAAGTTAGTTTCCATGGTCAAGGTTAAAGGAAGATACTTTCTTGCAATATTCTGGCAACCTTTTATGGATTTTTTGCTGAAACCAACACTAAAAAGTGGGTGTTTTCTGGATTGATCCATCTCTCATCTATCTATCTATCTATCTATCTATCTATCTATCTATCTATCTATCTATCTATCTATCTATCTCTTATCGATAAGGAATGGAATAGTGAATGAAGAGATATCTTTTAAAAAGTTAAGAGTTATTAAATTTATTTATATCTATTGAGATGAAAATTGGAAAGTACTTATTTATATATTTTTCTTTATTATATTCTCTATTTTCTTTTTCTTTGCCTTAATTTTCTTTGCATTTTATTCTTTCTTTTGATTCTCCTTTTCTCTAAGTTTAGTTTGTATTACTTTTTATTATTTTAATCAAAATTCTTATTAAAATGTTATTTGAGGGGGAGTAAGACCAAATACCACAACTGAAGGTTAAAATGGAAAGAAAATTATTATCTAAGCTTAATTGTTTTTTCCTTAAAATTCTTTTATATATTATAGTGTGCCTAATTTTGTATGGAATGTCTTGTCTATATTTCAAAAATATTAATGTTAAATTCACAACTCATGTTTAGTTTTAGGGCTTTTCTTTGTCCTATTATTTTCCTTCAATTAATAGCAGCTTATGAGACCAATGCTATAATTTGGAAATCTAACAGTAGATGCTAATGAATCCTTTGACTTCCTGCAATTTTTTACCCAAATTGTTTTTTTCTCTAATGTGCTTTTAAAAACATTTAAAAAAAATTTTTTTTTTAAATGATGCGTTTCTATTGAGATGTATTAAAACAGGACTATGGCCTAAGTTACTGCCAATAAGAACCAAACCCCATGAAAGTCACAAAAACTTCATTCTTTTTGTCTGGAAGCATTTGCCAAATCTGTGTACATATTTTCTGTAGCCTGCCAAACCAGAATCTGTTCCTTCCTTAAAACCAAGGACTTGCAAGAATTAAAAACATATTGAATGACATATTCTATTCTATATGGAACTGCATAAAACCAGCAGCTCTGTTACGGCTCATGGGAGCCTTAGATCTCAGTTCGGAATTGCAGTGTTGTATCTGCCATTTTCTTCTTATAGTTCTCATCAAATGCCTCATTCTGAGCCACTGTAAAGTGATTCTTCCAGTCTCCACAAATTCCTAAAATGCACAATAATAGAAATGAAACACACATAGATAATAAAACATATACTATATATAGTGAAATATTGCCTCTGTTCCAACATTATCAGCTGAAATGAGGGATAAAAGAATAGCAATTCTCTAAAAAATGACTTTGTTTCGAAATTAAGGAAATGATCAGAGAAGTTGTACAGTGTCTTACCCTTGCGCATGAATGGAGAGATACTATGATCCATTACAGCAGCTGGAGCCATCCTGTAGTTTGTCATAGGATTGTCCTTCATCACATCAAAAGATGTATGATAAACAATATTATCTACAACTGATTCATCAAGATTCTTTCCCAAGAAATGTATGATTTTCTTAATCTCACGCTTTGGATCCTATGGAAAATAATATTAAAACTGTATTCATGTTGATGCACATTACCTTTCATAAAATTTTGCCGTACACATGAAAGTTCTTAGAGGATAAAATAAACATACAGGAAATGTTTGACTTAGAAATACAATTTGGCCAGGAATCTGTTGTTAACTCAGGTGCTTGGCTCCCTCTCATTTCTGGGGGCTGGATGAATGAGGCTTCTGAATTATTTCAGTTCTGTGCCTGCTTGGATTTCAGCAATCCAAGTGGACACAAAACTGAAATCCTTACACACACAGCTCTTTCAACTTACAACAGTTCAATTAATGACCGTTCAAAGTTAAAATGGCATTGAAAAAAGTGACTTATGACCATTTTTCACACTTATGACCATTTCAGCATGCAGGTCACATGATTAAAAGTCAACTGACTCATATTTATGATGGTCGCAGTGTCCCAGGGTCACGTGATCCATTTTTGCGACTTTCTGACATGCAAAGTCAGTGGGAAAGCCAGATTCACTTAACAACTATGTTATTAACAAATGCAATGATTCACTTAACAATTGTGGCAAGAAAAGTCGTAAAATAGGCAAACTCACTTAACAAATGTTTTACTAGGCAACTTAAATTTTGGGCTCACTTGTGTTCTTAATTTGACTACCTGTATTTCAGCTCTGTGGCCACTTGGACTGCCAAAATCTAAGCAGGATCCTTCTGCAGGCAATTCATTCACCCAGCCTCAAGACAAGAGGGAGTACTTCCGGAAGGTGGAAGCAGCTAACAACTTTTCTGGCCAGATTCCCCGATGACTTGCTTGCAGGAAACAGCAGAGAAGATTGAAATTATAATCACATGATTGCAGGGTATTTGGCAACTGGTCTTAAGTGCAAACAGGTTCACAAGCATCCAGATTGCAATTATGTGACTATGGTGGGATGGGGGTGGAATGTTTTATGACAAAAGTGCTTACAGGTCACAAAGCACCTTTTCTGAGGCCACTGTTTATTTGAACCATTGTTAAGCAAATGGTTATAAATCAATGATTTAATCCTTTGTACTAGAGTAAAGGGTTCCAATACCTGACTCAAAAAAAGTTTCTTAAAATATTACACATAAAATAGTTTAACTTTTTTCTTCTATGCCATTTCTGCCCTAATATTCTATGTGAGGTCCACATGTCCCTGTCCCTACTGGGCTTCAGGAAGCATTAGACTTGGCTCTAAGCTTTATGTATGGTTCTGATAAGCAATAGCAGTGGTTTAATAATCTGATTCCTCCCACATGGTTGCTTTTTAAAAGGTTTTCAAATTGTTTTAACTCTCTGTAAACTGCCCAGAGTTATCAACAAGTAGGCTCCCTTAAAACATTGATTAAATAAATAAATCTATCACAACCCATCCAATCATATAATCAATAGTGAGATGGGCTGCATATACATTTAATAAATAAATAATCATTGATAAAATATTTGAAAAGTATTCTTATTCTATTACCTCTTTCATGTCTTCATAAAACAAGTACAATATGACGTGATCATTTCTCTTATCCCACCAGTTTTTCACATGATCATACCAGGAGCCAAAGATCATTGCTTATAAAAAAAGAGAGAGAAGCAGTTATAAGTTTAAAGATTTCATAGGAACTATGAAACCAGTGTTTTAAATCACAAGTACGCTAGAAATATTTAGGCAACTAACATGCTTCTTAGCCTCAATTCCATATGCATAACAATACCTTAAAAAATTTTGGGAGGGCGGAGCTGACATTGCGACGATACGGCATGCGATCTTGGAGGTCTGAGATCGCTGCCGATATCTTTGCTCCTGGGCGGTCCAATCGGATCTAAACTGTCCCAAAGAGATGGTGAATGTAAAGAGCACATCCTGTTGATCCCAGGGATACTGCAAAGTCCCTGGTAGATCCAGGAGAAGCCCTTTTTTTGCCAGCTGCAAAGAGGCAGCCATTAAAGCTGCTGAAGTTGGGACAGCTCCGAAATGAAAGAGAACGTAAAGAGAAAGTGTGTCAGTTTGGTGAGAACTTTTTCTTTACTTTAAGATTTGAAAGGACACCCTAAGAAAAAGAAAGAATCTGTAAAAGTTTTGACATAAGTGATTAAGCGGCGATTTTAAACAGGAACGTCAAAGTAATATTTTTATATTTTTTTCTCATTGCTGGATTTTCTACACATGATTTTATATTTTGAAACAGGACTGGGTTGTTTTTCTTCCTTCACCTATTATTTCTCTCCTTTTTGACTTTATAATATTCTAGGCTAGAGACTCCCTTTTAGTCATCTTTTTAAATATCTTTTTCCCTTTTTAATTCTTCTTCTTCTTTTTCTTCAGCGTTTGTCTCGCGCTCGGGCGAGGTCCGCTAATGTCCTTGAGTACTGCTTCCACACCTCTCTGTCTGCCACGTGTGTCGGGTCTGCCTTCGCGATCTCTAGATCGGCCTTGATCGTGTCCATCCAGTGTTGTTTAGGTCTACCACGTGGTCTCGCTCCTCCGACAGTCACCTTCATTACAGATTTGATGATGGATTCTTCCTTGGCGTGGCTCACGTGGCCGAACCATCGTAGCCGGGACTGCCTCATGACCGTGGGGATGGGCACGACGTTGAACCGTCTACGCACTACTTCGTTCCTGACGCGATCGAGTAGGGTGAGGCCTACCGACCATCGGAGCATTCGCATCTCCATTATCTGGAGTCTGCTTTCGACTTCTTTGGTCGTCGGCCAGCACTCTGCGCCGTATATGGCCACGGGGCGCACCACAGAGTTATAGATTTTCGCCTTCAGGCGCATCGGCATCTTCTTGTCACAGAGGACGCCCGTGACGGACTTCCATTTGCCCCACGCTGCATTGATCCTGGCTGCCACCTCAGTTTGTAGTAGGCCTTCTTCCCCAAGAGTAGTTCCCAGGTACTTGAAGGTGGAGGCGCGCGGTAGCTCCTGCCCGTTCACGTGGATGGAGCCTGTCATTTCATTGTCAGTGGTCAGGTATTCGGACTTCTTTAGGTTCAGCCGGAGCCCGAACTGCTCGAGGCGGTCGTGCCACTGTTGGACTCGGTGCTCTAGTTCAGCCTTGCACAGGTTGGCCAGGAACACATCATCGGCGTAGAGCAGCGTCCATGGGGCGGGCGTGTACAGGTCGTGTGTAATTGTGTCCATCACCAGAATGAACAGCAGTGGTGAGAGAGCAGAGCCCTGGTGTACGCCGACGGTAATATTAAACTCCTCTGATATCCCAGCTGCCGCTTTTACACGGCTTTTGTGACATCTGTATAGGAGTTGGACCCATTGTACGAGCAGCTCAGGCACGTCGTGGTCTCGCAGTGCGTACCAGATGAGATCGTGCGGGACTCGGTCGAAGGCCTTTTCCAAGTCTAGGAAGGCGGTGTGGAGCGGGATTTTCTTCTCTCTGTGAGCCTCCATCAGCATCCGCACACCGAAGATGGCGTCGGTGGTGCCGCAGTTCTTGATGAATCCAGCCTGGTTGACGCTGATGTCGACGATGTCCCGAATGCGCTTATCAAGGACGCGTTCAATGATCTTCATAGTGTGTGACAGTAACCTGACCGGTCTGTAGTTGGAGCAGTCCGCTGGGCTGCCCTTTCCCTTCCAGATCGGAACAGTGGTGCTGCGGTACCACTCGTGTGGCACTTTTCCCGTGGAGACGATGTTGTTGAACAGCTCGCACAGCCACAATGCCGAGCCCGGTAGTGCCTTTTTCCAGAAGTCGGCAGGGATGTCGTCTGGTCCTGTTGCCTTACCGTTTTTCATGGCCTTGATGGCGTCGGTGACCTCGCTGGCATAAATGCCTGAGACTGGGCCTTCAACTGGGTCACCTCGCGGGGTTCGTGGGTGTGGGAACTCCTCGGTGGAGATCTTCTCGAAGTATTGCCGCCACCTCTCCGCAGCGTCTCTGGGGTTGACGATCAAATTTCCCCTTTCGTCGTTGATCCCATGAAACTGGTCAATGTCCAGGGTCTTCCTGTGTCTGCTTTTGGCTAGGCGGTAGATCTCATTCTCGCCTTCTCGCATGTTCAGCTTCTCGTAGATGTCATCGTAGTGGGAGCTTCTGGCTGTCGCTACTGCTTTCTTGGCTGCCTTTTTGGCCGCCTTGTATTCGCAGAGCTTCTCGCTGGTCTTGTCCTGAAGAAAGGCCTTGTAGAGCCGTTTCTTCAGGTGTACGGCATCTTGTACTTCCGGTGTCCAGAGCCATGTATCTCGTTCGATGCGTCTCCGTCCTGGCTTGGTGCAACCAAGCTGTTGGCAGCCGGCAGTGTGAACAGTGCTCTTCAGCATGGACCACGCTTCCTGTGGCCCGTCGACCATCTGCAGGAACTGCTCCGGTTTGATGAGGGGTCCCGCCATCTTCTTCTGGTTCCACCACTTGATTCGTGGCTGGTCTGCATTCCTTTTGTCAATCCTGGTCTTGGGCTTGCTGATCCTGATCTTCGCCATCAGCGGCCTGTGCTGACTGCTCGATTCGTACGGGTACGCCTTGGCGTTGAGCACGTTTTTAGCGGCTCTTCGTCGTACGATGATGTAGTCGATCTGTGTGTGGTGGCTCCCGTTTCTGCTATGGTAGGTGAGGAGTTGAGATTCTCGCCTAATGAAGCAGGTATTCGTGATGGTCATATCATGGGAGTCAGCAAAGTCCAGGATCCTCTGGCCATTCTCATTCGTATCGCCTGTGCCGTGCCCACCGTGGCACTGGTGTCCGTTTTTGTCCCGCCCTACATGACCATTCAGGTCGCCCGAGATGATGATGTCGTCTTCGTTTGGGATCTGCCTGAGTTGGATGTCGAGCAGTTCCCAGAAGGTATCCTTCTCCTCCTCGTGACATCCGGTCTGAGGGGCGTAGGCGGACAAGATGTGTAGGCGCTGCCTCTCGGTCGCTACGACGATTATCATCAGTCGTTCTGTGAGGCGCTTAACTTCTGCGACGGAACTTTGCCAGCTTGGACTGACAACCACAGCTACACTGCCGCGGTTTTCCTTACAGCTGGTGTATATGATCTTGTAGCCGTCTATAGTCGTAGCCTTGTTGCCCTTCCAGCGAGTTTCCTGGAGGCAGCAGATGTCCAGCTTCCTGTCCCGCATGGCCCTGACGATCTCGGTTTTTCCCTTTTTAATTAATTTTTATTATTATATTTTGTTTGGAAAAGGAGGGGGAAAGTGAAAGCAAAAGAAACTTTGTAACACTGCCAACTAGAGGCTTGGAAATATTCTATCTCTTTTTCTTGACCAGACAAAGCTGAGGAAAGAACTGAGGCTTCTTTTCAAGGACATTGCTGTTTGATAAGTTAGAGGGAAGAGCATGGGAGAGTATTATTGCAGGTGCTCTTCTGGGTCTCTATCGATAGCTGGAGTCTGGTGTTTAAGCTTATAGAAAAAAAAGGTGATAAGACACTGGAGAAGAGAGTTATAAATTTTAACAAAAGCCTTGGATAATCAGACAAGGTGCAGTGTGCTCTTTTTATTTATTTTTTAAGCTGAGCTATTTCTTACTTTAATAAACCCCCTCCTTACTAGTTTACTTTTTGTAATAGCTATTTGGATTTTGGGCCTTTTGGAACTTGTTTTTGTCTTTTGAAGTCTAATTTTTACGTTTGCATTTTATTTTAAAGGAAAAGCTTTAGTATGAATGATTTCCTTCCTTTTCTTTTTAAGGGAGTAGTCTCTTTTATTTTTTCTCTCTCCCTTCCTTGTATTTTTTTTTTCTATTTACCTTCCATTTTGGTGGGGGGGGGGTTGGTGTCTTTCTTTTTTTCTTATTTCTTTCTTTCTTTTTTTCCTTTTATACCTGAGACCTCTTAATTGGATTAAGGTGTTGAAGAACCTGAAGAACTTTTTTCTTTTTTTTTAGTTTTTTACTTTTTCACCTTTTTCAGGATTTAACAATTTTTTCTTTTTTGTGTGTGTTTATGGTCTTTTCTTCCATTTTTGAGTTTTTACTGGTATCTAACCAATCGATTGGATTAAGGTATACAAGAACCTGAAGAAATTTTTTATTATTATTATTATTATTATTACTACTACTACTACTACTATTTAGTTTCTTTTCTCCTACTATTTTTACTTGGAATTACAATTGGTTATTTCACAAGTGGATTAAGATCTAGAAGAACCTGAAAATTTTGAACTGTCCAAAATGAGCAGGAAACTAACAGCCTCTGGTTCCTCAACTTCTACTTCTTCCTCTTCACCATCTGGAGGACAATATTCAATACCGACAATATTACAGCAAGAAAAAGAACAGAAAAAAGTGACCTTGCAGATGATTATGCAAGGAATTCAAAATATTCAAATAAGAACAGAGAATATTGAAAAGAGAACAGAGAACTCAATGTTCTCTTTGTTCAATACAAAGAACAGGGAAAACCTATGAAAAGGTGGAGAACATTCAACAAATGATGATGAAGTATGATGAGAGATTCCAAAAAATTGAAGAAGATAAACAAAGAGATAAGATTAGAGATATTGATAGCAGATTAACTGTGGTTGAACAAGATAAAAGTGGGATGTTGAGATGGGAGATGGACAGATCAGAATTTTATCTCAGATTCCAAAACTTAGAGGAAGAA